GGCTGCGGCGTCTGCTGGCCGGCGGCTTTTGGGCGTTGAAATTATTTTACATGCATTTGTTTTTGGTTTTTTGTTACATTCAAGAGTTTTGTTTTTTTTCGCTATTGGTCACTTTATTTAGGCTTTGCACGCAGTTGCATGCTGCTTGGTTGCAATTGGATTAATTTATTGGCGTAAGCGATGCGGTTTTTATTTGTTTCAAGCGACAGCTGCACTTTTTAAGTTTTAACACCAACACACACACACTCTCGCACATACACACTCTTATACAATTGCGAACGCACCCAAAACGCGTCTTTCTCGTTCGCTGCTACCAGCACGAATGTCCGATTATTGGTAACAGAAGCACGGCTGCCCAAAAACTTAACATTAGCTGTCCTGTTATTAACAGTGGATATTAATGTTAACTTGCAAAGTTGTCGATATCTGCTACTAATATAGCTATCATTTTATAATTGATGCAATTTCTTGAAAAGCGTTTAAAAAATACAAACTTCTGGAAAAACGTTTCATTTTAGCTGAGTTACTTGGTAGCCAACGGCGAACATATTTAAATTTAACATATGTAAACTGCGTTTGACAATAACATAATAGGTGCATCTAGTCGTTATCGATAGTATGCGATGAGTATCGAATAGTGTCAATGTTGAGAGCAAACAGAAACTTTGAAGATCGCAATGGAACTGGCAAAACTTTGAACTTGGAAGAGCCACAAAAGATAAAGGCGTCTATTGTTTTAATTGAAAAAAGCGGAGTTGCTAACGAAATATATGCGGCTTAATTAATCATTTAGAGGAGCTCCAACTGGACGAAAAAGTAGACACATGATGGAATTTCCAACACCGTATCCCGTCCTGCCGGAGTCTGGAGTAGAAAACTTTGACAGAGGGAGATGAACAGTGACCTCTTGCGGAGGGAGTGAGGTACACTGAAGGTGCCGAGGGCCCAAGCCACATAATGTTTCTGAGAACAAAATTATGACTGTGGAAGGGGGAGTTTTCTGTACGAAGCAGGAAAGGGATATGATGATTGACCTTATAAAGCGGATAATAGATCATGCAAAGGATAATCCTCCAGTCAATTATGAATTCATAGGAACAGATTTGTAGCAAGCATAATCCACCAGCGGCAGCCTCCAAACGTCCTCGACTAGTCCCAAACATCTCCAAGGAAAAATCAAAATCATATTCCTTGTACATCTGCCTTTGCAGCTCAAAAAAGGACTGGAAAAGTGGCACATTCAATACTTGAGTTATTTATTAGTCTAAAAGCATGAAGAAAAAAATAAGTAAATAAAAAAACCGAAGCTCAAATGTTGCTCAACATTGTTGCCGCACATGCTGCTAAGCAAATATGTTTAAATAATAATAGCAATATTAAATTCCAAAAGGGGCTATTAATCAAGTAGATATGTAATGTATGTGAGTGTATTAGCATAAAATGCAGTCAACATTTTCAGCTAAGCTGCTAAGAAACTATTTTATAAAAATGGGTCGCTCAATTCAGAAAACATCGACCAATCGCAAAGTCGATAGCAGGTTTTTAGGGTGACCAAAATTGCGTTAACATTACCACCATATCGGCAGCTCAACGAATTGTGGTCGTGTTCGATAGATGCAGTGCTGCGTCGAAAGTTGTATCGATTGTGCTTATCGCGCGTCTACAGCTTGCTGGTGCCATCTCAGTAGTGCGACTAATTAAGTTTAATCCAAGTCAACAACATAAATTAGTGCAATGCATTCCAGCGCGCAAGTCGACGCACAATAAAGTAAATGTGAATGCTTGGCGCTAAAAGGAAAAAAAAAACAGTACAAATTCGGCCACGCAGCGTTGCATGAGTATGTATGTGTGTGTAATATATGGGCATATATGGCATACATATGTGAAGTTTATAAAGAAGCGTAGTTTTGTGGAGGAGCATACTAAAAAATAGTGCTCGTAGGAGTTGCAGCTTTGCCAGCAACGGGAGCATAAAATATCGATTCAAAGTGCATGCAAACATATGCATACATACATATGTATTAACGTGTGGTTGTGTATGTGTGCGTGCGTGTGAATGTGTAAATGTTATTGCAAATGTAAGAAGAAGCAGAGGCTCACGCGCTTCTTTTCTACACTGCCAAAGCAAAAAAAAAATATAAAAAATTGTTCATTAAATTCATTGCTAAAACGTGAACGTGACCAGTTGTTTCTGGCTGAAGTGGAAAATACGTTTGAAAGATTTTTTTACCTTGTGGCATTTTCTATTTGTTTTTTTGTGAAGCCGCAGTCTCCACCAGGTATGTGTGAAATACAATATAAATTTAAATGTGATGCTGACGTTGCTGCGTTCATCTATAGAAAAATGCGCGCCCATTATAAATATATATATACATATATATAAACGTATGCAACTACATACATGCATATACACATACACATATAAGAGAGTGTTGTTCTTGGGAGCGTGCATGTGTGTGTAAGTAATTGCACATAACCTCAATTCCTCAATTGATTACGCTCAGCGATAACGCTTGGAGAGAAATGAGCGTCTCACCAGCTAAATTACATTTTATTCCTTAATTAAGAATTAATTAATTGCTTACCGTAGTACACAGAATATGCACAAAAGGCTTCTGTCTGCCTACGTTTGAGCAAAATTTTCTGTGTGTGTGTGGTGTCTGTGTAAATTGTGAACGTAGGCATTTTGAACTGCCTTCGGATGTATAATTTGATAAAAGTGTATATCAAATAAAATGCCATACACAATAAATTGCTGTAAAAGCGAAGGTATTGCAAAGAGCAACAACAATGACGCATATCATTTATACAAACACGCTCGGAATCGCACACGCATAGAAACATATACGTATGTGTGGCTGTGTGTGTGGCTCTCTCTCTCTTTGAGCGAGCAGAGAGTGGGCTCTCTCTCTCTCACACACACACACACACCTTTTATATAAAATACCTAAAATGAAAAATAAATATAATTTATTTTTTTTAATACAATGTTGTCAGCATTTTACATGCTCTCCGCTCTCATTTCTATTGCTGTATTTTTTTTTGTGTTCATTACTAATTTCCCTTTAGGGAATTTCCTTTTGTAGCTTTGCACATTAGTTTAACAACTCTTATATTTCATTAGTTTTATTTACCTTGCAACTTTATTTTATTGTTTGCCGGTGCGTTTAGTTTTCAGTTTTTGCTTTTCTACTAGTTTTTTGTATATATTTATTGTTAGTCGATTGCCTTAAAATTGTATTGATAAGACATCCATTTTTGGGTTTCTTGTCGCGCTTCTGAACCAAGTCAGGTTTGCTTTGAGATTTGCTGAATCTTTTAGTTGTTGCTCGTTTTTTTCTTATATTTATTTTTTGCTCATTTACCGAAAACTTGAAAAACGAGTTTATGTTACAGACGATCGCACTTCGTTTAAATACCCTTTCCTGGAATGGGGCGTTCTAAATTTGCCACCAAATGTGCAATTATATGAATATATTTATGAATCTAAATATAACACATTAATCTCAATTTTATTAATATATGTTTCAAAAATTCAATGCATTAATTTACATATTTAATAAAAATATATTGCTTTAATATCAATTCATTTAAAATATTTATAAATGAATACATCGCATTAGTCTCTTAATAAACTTATAATTAAATATAAAGTTTTTCCAAGGACAGAAATTTGATTAATTAAATAGTTTTTCGAAGAGTATTTAAACGTCGGCATTAAACAGTCGTCTTTTTATGTGTATTTTTGCGCGCTTCTTGTTCTTGTTTTGTTGTATTTTGTATTTGTTTTGTGTGTCGCCTTTTATGTAAATAGAATTGAGACGACGGGCTTCTCTCGCAGCAAACCGCCAACCGTCTTTGGGAGTGCCCCTGTCAGAAATAATTTGTGCAATTTACACAGTGTTCTCTGTGCTTGTGAACCCGGCGACTCTGCGATAATCTAGCAAATTCTTGGCATTTGCAGTCACCAATTCACAATTTTTACATTGTATACACAAGCAACAAAAGTTACTCTATGAAATGCATTATGAATAACAATTAGTTCACAAGGCAGTTGTTGCATCTATATACATATATATCCTCTAAAATTCAAATCATTCGTTAATATTCAAACATGTATTATGAGTAGAACCATTGAGCTATTTATCGGATAGTAACAATAATAATACTTCTATATACATCAATTCACAGTCACAACAATTGTTAAATATATATAATGTCTTTAAAGAAACTATAATTTATAAAAGCATGTAATCAGAAATAACTATAATATATATATTTTTCTGAACACAGTTCATTTAATTTAAAATGAAATATACAAAATTAATTAACTTTGACTGGAAGCCTTTGACAACAGTAGATGCCTTTAAAAACAATAGTTTTATAATCCAGAAATAACAATATATTAAACTGAATCTTAAAAAATTATATTTTTGTGAAATAGAGTTAATTTAATTTCAAGTCTATATATAAAATTAATTAGCTTTGATTTTCAGTCTTTGATAACAGTGGAAATTCACATGAATAATCATTTAATATTAAACAGGTTTTTTTTTTTCTTTGCTTCAGGCCGCAATCTCATATTTTGTTATTATAAATGCACTTTTTGAATTGTCAGCTTTTACTGATTTTGCACGTAATCGTAAGGTATTATCTGATATGGCAGACAAACATATGTACGGAAATTGGGATTTGGTGCAAAAATGCAATTCACGCATAAATATACAGTTATTGCTGTTGTTGTTGTCTGCCGAACTCTGTGTTTCACTTCATTTTTGTATCACATTGAAGAATTCGCTGCTGTTATTGCTGCTGCTGGTGTTATTATTGTTGTTTGACTGCTCATATTTAAATACACATTGTTCCTCTTTATTGTTGCGCAATAGGAAGCGGCACATGGGGGCAATCTGAAATTAGTGTATGGCAATTAGTATATGAGTCAAACCACCTGAGAATACAAATACAAATAGACACACATACATACGTCAAAAGTCAGGCAAACAAATTCACATATTACTCCCACTGTTAATGTCTAACAGACACTGGACAGAGTTAGGAAAGATTGCAGCAAACACACACGCACACTATGCACTCAAGGGTGTTGTTGGACTGTCCCTTTTGCACTTGCTTCGCTTGTGGGGTGGGGAGGAGCTGAGAGGAGGTCGTTTTGTTGTAGGCGTTACTTGTTCAAAACTGCAACTGTAAACTCTGCACAGGCGCCTGTTTTCTGCCTGCTCGTGAACTTTGAACTTTGACTGGCAGTTGTCATGTGTTTTTGTGTGTGTGTGCCTAAAATAATGTTGCCTCGATTTGCATTAACTATCGGCTAACGCAGCGCTACTGCCTGCTGGCAGGTGACAGTCTCTCTCATTCGCTCGCTCTCTCCCTCTCTCTCGTCTCCACCCGCTGCCTGCCGCTCTTTGTGCAGTGCAGCGAGCGCATGAAAAAGAAATCGATAATTGCAAGGTTTCCATTTCCACCACCACCAACACGATGCGATGAGCGCGCACAATTTGCACAAGTATACAGATTTTTATTGCTGCAGCTAGCGCAGAGACCAGGCCAGACCAGACCCATTCAAAGTTTAGTTGCTCTTTCTCGCGTGGCGGCCGATCAAATTCCAACATGTGTTTGACCATTGCAAAGAGCAGCAAGACCAATGCTGCTCACCAATACCAATACATTCACATTCGTACATGTGTGTGTATGTTGTGTGCCTCCGCCATTGCCTTGGTGAGAGATGGCGTTGCCATCGCCGCAACTTGCATCCACTTTAATTTTTTTTTTTACCTTGTGCTTGCTGCTTTCTATGCCCGCTGTGGTGTGTCTCTGTCTTCTTTGTGCTTCTTCTCGTTTCCGTTTTGACAGCAGCAGCAAAAACTAACCATTTCACCACCACTTGCAGAGAATATACACGAATGTAAATAACTGCATGTGTATGCGTGTGTGTGCGTGAGTCAAGTGTAAGGTGAGGTGAGTGGAGCGGTGGCAAGGTGTATGAGGAGGCGCCGACGCCGCCGTAAAGTGTAACCGTGGCAGTGTTGCTGCCAGCTACTCGTCTGTTTAGTTTCTGATTTTCAGTTTTGTCGATTTCATTATGTACTGCAATATCTCGCTGTTCACTGCTCGTGTGGACTCGTCGTGAGTGTAGCGCCTGAGTGTAGGTGATTTCAGTCTCACCTCATTCAATGTCTCTCTCTTTCGCTCGGCCTCTCTCATTGCGACTGTTCGACAGGGTGTTTGAGTTGAGGCTGACACGTTGTTTCCGTCTCTTTGCTATATGCAGGTAGTCATGACTCTTAAAACACCCTGTTGTTGGACAACGTTCATTGGACATTCATGCTGCCGACTCTGTCTCACATCATACGAATTGTAACGGCTGTGCCTTTTGCACTTACGTAAGCTTTACGTGAACCATTTTTTCTGCACTTTGATTTTGTTAAACATTTTCTTTTCAATTTTTTCACATTAAAATGATAGGATTCAAATGCCGACTATTAAATATTTGCTCCGTGCACTGTGTTTCAATTTCGAACATTTTTCTAGCTCTCAAAATACAGCATGTTTTATTCCGCATTCAGTCGGCCGTTTCCACGAAATGTTTTCTGCCACACACACCACACACAGATTGCAATTTGAACAACGTACAGCAACAAGACGAAGACTCGCTGCTTGCTACATGTGCTGGCTTGTGTGTAGATATATATATATAAGCATATATGTATATATATTTATGTATTTACTTATTACTCATAGCAGAGGCAGCGGCAGCAGCAGCAGCATTTTCCCCATTTTTCTTATGTTGTTCGCTCGATGTTGTTGCGCTGCGTTGCCGTTGCTGTTGCCTCCCTGTTTTTAATGTGCTGCTGGCTGTTTGTCGTGTCCTCCGTTGCCATTGTAGCAGCAATAGTAGCAACACAGCAGTCACGAAAATGAAAATGAAGAATTCCAAAGCAACACTGCGCGCGCGCATTTACTCCTCTCCCGCTCATCCACCCGTTTCTGCTGTTGCTGCTAGCGCCGCTCTCTCTACCTCGAGTTTCTCTCTCGCGCTCTTTCTCTCTGTGTGTGTCCGCATTTCGCGCTCTTTTGTTTCTTTGCTCACACTGGCCCTCGTCGTTTAATCGAAAATGTTTGCGGCGGCGTTAAGACGTACGAAAACGTTTCCTCGCCAAATTTTTGTGAATATCTGTAGAAATTCACTGGGAGGAAAATTGCTAAAAAGTGAATTTCAATTAAATCGTGTACAATTTTTAAAATCACATCCGTTTGCCGCGTAGCATTTTGTAAATAAGCTCAAATTGTAGTCGAAGCTGAAGCGTAAATATATAATAATTGTGAAAAACTGCTCCAATACATACATACAACCAAAAAAAAAAAAAATCCATGTACTAAAGAAGAAAAAGGTGAAAAGTTGTACAGTGTGAAAAATAATGCTAGTGCAAAATACTGCGTAAAACGTGAAAGTTTTGAATAACAAGTCAAATCAACGGTTTATAGTAAATACTCTTGTGTATGTATATATGTATATGTGCATACATACACTTTACGAATACATACATACATACATAGATAGTTACACCGTTTCTGATGTAAGTTCCCTTTCGCGGGTTGAGAAATATCTAAGAAAAGCGATCGAAATATTGTTGAAATATATGATATCAGTTTAGTTATATGATAATTTATACCATCTGCGTACTTGTTCATAGCAAAAAAAACTTGTGAAAAATACAACATTTTTAGGTTAGGTCAATTTCAATTGGTTTATATACGCGACAACGGCGAACACGAACACACACACACGCCATGCACAAAAGACATGCATACATATACATACGTATAAAACAGCGCACAGACAAAAAGTCGTCGACGGGCTGCTGCTCGCACTCAACTCAACACACACAGACACATATTCACGCACACAGTTACAAACACGCGTATACACACATATACACAAGTTTTTAACATTGCTTTTGGTTTGCTTGTGAACTGACTGTATTTTTTCAACGTAGTGTGTCGTTTTATTTTCGTTCGTTCATTCGTTCGTTCGTCCGTCTGTTCTCAGTTCGTGCGCTTATCTCGACTTTTGCTTTGATGCGCCATTCGCATGTACGTCTGTATATATCCATATATATATGTATAAAAAAAAAAAATATTTATGCATATGTATGTGCGCGTATTTTGAAAGTGTGTGCGTGTATATATATGTATATATATATATATAATTGGGCTCCCATCACAGAATAACTCAGTGGCAGCTGGCTTGGCCAGCGGCTCCAAGAGTGAGCGCCAACGTCTCGTTCGCACGCTCGCTCTTTCTCTCTCTTGTTTTGTGTGTGTGTATGTGTGTTCAATGAGAGCATCTTCGCTCTCGACGACGACTATTTGACTACTTGGGCTACTATGAGCTTGAATCTACCAGTCTACCTTCTACTTTGTTGTTCTTGCTTTCTGCTGTATTTTGTCTTACTCAAAACGTTGCCTATAGTACATATATATATATATATATATATATATATATACTTCTATATATATACATGAATACTTTCGGTTTGTTGTATTTTGCTTTACTCAAAACGTTGTCTACACGCACACACGTACATACGCACACACACATACATGTAGGCACATAATTCTCTACACACATCCATATGTTTTATGTATTTGCAAAATTTATTAATAGCAAATAGAGAGGTACCCCAGTAGTAGTCAGTCCTCATTGAGTGTAAGTGTGAGTGTGAGTGCAAACGCGGCAAATGAAAAAAAGAAGAAAAAAAAAACTTTAAATACACTAATAAAAAAAAATACAATACCATGAAAAAGTAAGAAGTTTCTGTCGAAGCCAAATATTTTTGCATACTTGGTGCCTACATTCTCCGTGTGTGTGTTACTCTCCTCTGCTACACATAACAAAACAGATAAGATAATAGACGTGTGCACGTAATACACAGCTATGATACATAAAAAAAAGAACCAAGAAAAAATGGAGGGAAAATTTTTTGCCCACATGTCTCCCCTTCGCATATGAGCAACAACAACAGCAACAACTACAACGAACGCCCCAATTTTGTTCGAGCAACGAGAGAGCGACAAATACACACGCACATGCAGATATGTTCATATGTGTGTATATTTTATATGTGTAATATGTGGTTGCGGTGCTCCAATCTACAAACAACAGCACAACAGAGGAGCAATAACAACAAAAGGCAGGCAGAGGCCACACACAGTACTTCAAAAGAGAGAGAGTGGAATGGTAGAGAAGAACTGAGCTAAGCTTGTGCTGTGCCGCGCGACAAACGTTTCAACTTGTTTTTGCATTTGGCCATAACACTTGAAGGATTATTCTCTTTCTCCCTCTACCTCTCGCTCTCTCTCTCACTCTCTTGATAAGCAGCAAAGTGTGTGCCCGGTACAGTTTTCAAATGCAAATTACTGTAATTTGTTGTGTTTACAAATGCACCTCTATTTTATATGTGCGTTTTTTGCTCATTCTTAAATTGGAACTATTTTTCGTAAGGATGATTAAGAAGTTAGAAGAGGAAAGAAGTGGCAAATAGTATTGTCGAGCCATGCTCATTTTACTGCCTCCCGCTAGCGCACACATGTATGTTAAATATATATATATATATAAATACATATATATAATACACACACACACAATTGCTTTTAAATTCAAGTTATATTTACACTTTTAGCGACACGAAAACGCACTCACAAATTACTCGCTTCTCGTTCTTTGCTTTGCTTTGAGCGCCCGCCAAATACTTGTTTATAGTTGTTGCTGTTGGTTGGTTGCTTGAATTGAGTTAGTTCGTTGGTTGGCTGTTGAGCCAACATAAAAAGAAAACTTTGAAAATATCCTAACTGCGACACAAAACAAATATTTCAGCCCTCTTGCGCGCTCTCTCTCTCTCTCGCTCGCAGTGTGCTCTCTTGCATGCTGCTGCAGCAGAATTGAAAGAAAGAAGGAAAGAGCAAGGAGAGAGAATCAGCCGCCTCACCAACACCAACACCAACAACAACACCACCACCAACAATAACTATGTACTCGATTCTTTTGTGTGTGTGTATATATATGTGGCGGGCTGCTGTGTGGCCTGCTTGCCTGTCTTTTGTAAACTGTTGTGTAGATACAGGCAAACACCCTGTGCAGGGCAGCAGCACCCCCCCTTCAAAGAGCCCCCTTCGCTCGTTCTCTGCTTCTCATGCGTTCGCTGTGTTAAGTTTATGCAAGTTGACGTCGTCATCGTGCATGGGTCATAAAAAAAAAGCTCTCAGCAACTCTCTTGGTTTGTCTCGCTGCCTGCTGCCCTCCCTTGCCAGTTTTTACTGTACCCGTTAAAAACAACAAAGCGCGCGCGCCCAATTCCGGTTGCGCTTACTTACACACACATACACACACACACACTCACGACTGATGACTCTCTCTCTGATCTGATGCGCTCACTCTGTCTCCGCTCCTAGCCCTCAGTTGATTTGGCTGCTGCTGCTTTTATTGTAGTTGTAGTTGCTGTTGTTGTTGTTTCGGCTGCGGACATGCAAAGAAATAATTTCTACTACTCCCAATATACGTGCGCGTATATAGTTTAGTGTTGGTTAGTGTGTGCGAGTTTGTGTGTGTGGACATAGTGAAGAATTTGTCGTGAAATAATTTTTAATTTCATTGGAATGTGTAAAATTTGAAATGAAATATACACATTGTCTGAAAAGACTTATTCTCGAGAAAACAATACGAAATCACGGTATTTTCATATTTGAGATAACAGGGATTTGATATCGACAATCGATATATATATGATGAATAATATATATATATATATATATGTATATATAAATTATTATTTTATGTCGAGTTTTTAAGCAGCTGTTTCTCAGAGCTTACTAATCCAAAGTGAATGATCGTCTGCATTTTTTTTTATTATTGTTTTCGTCGCTCCACAAAAAAGGAAAAAAAAGTATGTCATCATCCGGTATTTGTTGGTTGTTTTTGAGCCTCCTCCGGCTGTTACTTATATATATTTATATCTTTCAATTGCGTGTGTGTGTGTGTATTTGTGTGCATTCTACTAATTTCACGCTTATTTAATTTCTTTCATTTCTTGCAGTGAGTGCGATTGCGAGAGAGCAACGTAACTGCGACTGCGACGTGGCAGCGCCAAAAGCACACTACTACTAACCACAACAACAAGAAGCAATCTGTGCATTTGACGTTGAGGTAGTTTTTGGTGCACATACATTTTGTTGCCTTCCTGCGTGCCCCGCTAAGCGCGGACTGGCCGCGTCCACATACCCAAATGCATAGACAACAAAGGCAGCAACAGCAACAGCAAAAAGAACAACACATGTTGTATAGTAGACGGCGAGCAGAGCAAGTGCTGCAGTCCGGTTCGAGTTTGAGTTTAAATTCAATATACAGTTACCAGTTGCGACCACGAGTCTATTACATACGTTCCTAGAGAGCGTTACGTTCTAGCACACATCCACTCGACGGAGGAGTTCAATCCCCCTCCCTGGAGAGGAGAGCACAACAGCAGCAGGCAAATCAAAACAATAAATAAAACACCAGCAGAAAAAAAAAGAAACAAATCAAGCATGATGAAACGCACGCGTATCGATGAAGTCCAATTTGGCACACGTCCCGGCCCAGGACCAGGCGGAGTAGCCGGTGGTGCCAATAGTGGCACAAATAGCGTGGGCGTCAATACAGCTGGTGGCGTTACGATTGGCACTGTCGTTCCGAATGCACATAGTGCCACAATTAGTGGCATTGGTTCGATACATCATCGGATATTGACGCCACAGCATGGCGGGGCACAGACCATTGCCTACTTGCCATCGACAACACCGACGGCAACGAATCTGAAAACAACGAGCAGCAGCAGCATTGTCGATAGCGCCAGCACTCAAACAAATCCAACAGGAGCGGGACCAACAGGACCTGTTGGAGGCGGTGGTGTTGGTACCGTCGTTGGCAGCGTTGTCGTCTCCACGGGCAGCGCTGGCACTCAAACCTTGCAGTATACCACATGTAAGTTCAAGTTGAATGCAGGACTCATACAAGACTTGCTAATCTCTCTCTTTCTGTGCTCCGTTTGCAGCTTATAGCGTTGCCTCCATCCAAGCGGGCGGCACGCTAAAGACCAGCACAGCAGATGGCGGCAATGCGGTGCAAATACACGTCACTGCCGGCGGCACGCCAGCTACAGCGGGAGTGGCAGGAGCAGGTGGAGTTGGTGTAGGAGTGGGAGGCGGCTCCCAAACCGTATCCAGCAGCTGTCAGACGGCAACGATACGTCAGCGCACCATTAGCGGCACCCAAACAAATGCCAGCGCCAGTCTGACGACAACAGCACAGCAGACAACGCAACCCTCAGCACAACAACAGCAACAAACGCCACCCAATGGTGGAGCAGCAGCTGCAGCCGCAGCAGCAGCCGGCAACAGTACACCACCCCAGGCTCAGGGGCAGACAGCAGCTGGTGGTGGCGGGGCAGCGCCGCGTCTTAAAGTCGAGGATGCGCTCAGCTATTTGGATCAGGTGAAATACCAGTATGCGGATCAGCCGCAGATCTACAATAATTTCCTGGACATAATGAAGGAGTTCAAGTCGCACTGCATCGACACACCCGGCGTCATTGAGCGTGTCTCAACGCTCTTCAAGGGCCATACGGAGCTCATCTATGGATTCAATATGTTTCTGCCGCCTGGCTATAAGATCGAAATCCATTCCGATGCGCTTGGCTGCTCCGTGCCGGTTGTCTCAATGCCATCGCCACCTGGAGCGCCCACCAGCACTGGAACGGTTCACATGATTGCCGCCGCCGGTAACAGTCCGCTGGCGAGCGGTGTGAATGCGCACACAACGCTCAAGTCGCTGACACAGGCACCAGGTCCGGTTGGTGGTGCAGCTGCTGCAGCGGCCGCTGCGGCTGTGGCACAGATTCAAACGGCTGGCGCCGTCAATTTGATGACACACGGTGGCGCCTCGCTTACCCAAACGACAATACACGCCCTGCAGCCGGGTGCAGGAGCAGCTTCCACAGCTCAGTCACCGGGCGGTGGTCATGTGCACGTCACCAGCAGCTCGGCAGGAACGACGGTAGCGCCGCCACCAGGCGTAGTCGGTGTCGGAGTCGGTGTATCGCCATATGTGCCACAGAATTACTCAAGGGATCGTGGTGCAGCTGCTGCTGCTGCTGCGGCGGCTGCTGCTGCTGTTGGCGGGGAGCAGCGAGCGACAATAACACCCACTGGACCAGCTGGCACTGTTTCCTCATCGAATATTGCCGTTGGGCCACCAACGCCAAACTCACTGAACGAACTAAGTCCACACACGACGGGTCCCGCTGCCCAGCACAATTTGCATCACATCCAGCAGGCGCATCAGTCCCTGCTGCTGGGCGAGACGACGGGCCAGCAAAATCAGCCGGTGGAATTCAATCACGCCATAACCTATGTGAATAAAATCAAGGTGCGAACACACATCCCTAATCTTTATATATGCAAATATCCTAATCTTTATTTCGTTTTAATCTCGCGCAGAATCGTTTCCAAAGCCAGCCGGCCAAGTATAAGAAATTCCTGGAGATCTTGCACGCCTATCAAAAGGAGCAGAAGGTGATGAAGGAGGGCAGCGGTGCCAACAGCGGCCTCAATCCCGGCAAAATGCTAACCGAACAGGAGGTGTACACGCAGGTGGCCAAACTCTTTGGCCAGGACGAGGATCTGTTGCGTGAATTCGGTCAATTTTTGCCCGATGCCACCAATCATCAGTCATCCGCTGCTGCCGCACAATACATGTCCAAATCATCGTCGGCCCTCCACAACGATCATCACAATAAGCAACAGCAGCAGCAGCAGCAACAACAACAGCAGCAGCAGCAGCAGCGGACGACAACAACGGCAACATTGAGCGGTGGGGCGCACATCAGTATGTCAACGGCATCGCCGTCGGCGGCGGTGGCTAACAGTGGTTCGCCGCTGCATCATTTGAGCAGTGGGGCGACGCTGTCACAGATCGATAGCAGCAGTGCGCATGCGCATGCCGCTGCCATTGGCAATCTGTCGGCGGTGAATACCAGCGTCAGCATCAAGTCCTGTGCCGTTCAACAGAATCACATCATCAGCAGCGGCAGCATCTTTGAAAAGGACTTTCACGGACTCAGCGCACAACAACAGCAGCAACAACAATTGCAACAGCAGCAGAGGCATCCGGGTTTGCCGCCCCCACCTCATCTGCTGGCCACGCAGACGACGGCGGGTGGACTGCGTGGTGGCGTTGCTGGTGTCCTCGATCAGCGGAACAATCATCATGCCCAGAAGTATGTGGCCCAGCATCATGCGAACATGTCGCAGAAGAAATCGCCCAGCTATGGGGGTGCTGGTGGTGGCATCACCAATCTGCAGCATCTGCATCATCTCAACGACAATTCGCTGGATCGCAATTCGCCCAACATGGCCAGCTATGTGACAGCGGCTCAGCAGCAGCAACAGCTATCTGCACATCCGCATCCACATCCTCATCACAATACGCACAATTCGAGCAGCGGTGGTCGCAGGCAGGTGATGGATGACCTGACGGTGGGTGCATCAATTGCGGGTGCTGCTGCTGCCATTGCTGGTGGTAATCTCGGTGGACCGCCGCCTGCGAAACGACCCAAGCCATATTGCCGGGATGTCAGCTTCTCCGAGGCGTCACGCAAATGCTCCCTCTCCGATATGGCGTTCTTCGATAAGGTGCGCAAGGCGCTGCGTAATCCGGAGGTCTACGACAACTTCTTACGCTGCTTGACGCTCTTCAATCAGGAGATTGTCTCCAAGACGGAACTGCTCGATCTTGTTTCGCCGTTCTTGAAGAAGTTTCCCGATCTGTTGCGGTGGCTCACCGATTTCCTGGGTCCGCCCACAGCTGGCCAGGTGGGTGCTGGTGGTGGTGTAATCGATGGCCTGCCACTCGCCGCCACACAGCGTCAGCAGCAGCAGCAGCAACAAGGGGGCAGCAACAGCGAGCGGGCGAGCAGTCATCAGAGCACCGATTATGTCCAGGACGTGGATCTGTCGCTGTGCAAACGGCTTGGCGCCTCATATTGCGCCCTGCCCCAATCCTCTGTGCCGAAGAAGTGCAGTGGACGGACAGCTCTGTGCCGCGAGGTGCTCAACGATAAATGGGTCTCGTTTCCCACATGGGCCAGTGAGGATTCCACATTTGTCACTTCGCGCAAGACCCAGTTTGAGGAGACTATCTACAGGTGAGTTTTACGGCTTCAGAATTAAGTGCACTACTCCCCCACCCCCCCATCTTCATCCTCATTTGTATCTCTCCTGTCATTTCCCTGTTTAATTTTTGTTTACCTTAAATCTCGTTTCTTGTCCGTCTGTAATCTAGCTAAGTTTGGCATACAACCTTACGCAGTTAAAGTTAAAGCCAGGTTGGAAATTTGTAGACTGATCTTTATAATTTGTATACCATATATCAAAAAATATGAAGGCAACTTTTATTTAACAATTATAATTTATATATACATTTATACTTGGTGGCTTTTTCTTATTTGGTATTGCTAGTCGAGCACTCTCGATTAGTGCGCTCACTCCTCCTGCTTCTGTTGCCATCTCCATCGTCATTTTCATTTCAATTCTGATTCTGTTACTGTGTGTTACTGTTTCTGTTTCTTTGGCTTTCGTTTATATTTTTATGAATTAACCAAATCAACCAAACGCTCTCTAAACGAAAGGAATATTCACAGAACGGAGGACGAGCGTTTCGAGTTGGATCTGGTCATTGAAGTTAACAGCGCAACGATTCGTGTGCTGGAGAATGTACAGAAGAAGATGTCGCGGATGTCGCCCGAGGATTTGGCCAAATATCATTTGGATGATCATTTGGGTGGCACATCGCAGACAATTCACCAGCGTGCCATTCATCGCATCTATGGCGACAAGTCCGGTGAGATTATCCAAGGCATGAAAAAGAATCCCTCAGTTGCGGTGCCCATTGTCCTCAAACGGCTCAAGGTCAAGGAGGAGGAGTGGCGGGATGCCCAAAAGGTTTGCGCACAAATCACAAATTAAATTCAAATATGATATTCAATTTGATTCTTTGTTGCAGAACTTCAATAAGCAGTGGCGCGAACAGAATGAGAAATATTATCTGAAATCGCTGGATCATCAGGCAATCAATTTCAAGCCCAACGATATGAAAGCGTTGCGCTCCAAGAGTCTCTTCAACGAGATCGAAACGCTCTACGATGAGCGTCATGATCAGGATGATGATCCCATGGAGCCGGCCGGGCCGCATCTGGTCTTGCCCTACAAGGATAAGACCATACTGGACGATGCGGCCAATCTGCTGATCCATCACGTCAAACGGCAGACGGGTATCCAGAAGCAGGAGAAGCAGAAGATCAAACAGATCATCCGACAATTTGTGCCTGACCTATTCTTTGCGCCACGACACCCGCTCAGCGATGATGAACGCGATGACGGTAAGCAGCAGCAGCAGCAGCAGCAGGGCTGATTAGGAATACTTCCATTACTAGACTAACAAACTAGCACACATCCCATCCACTAACACAAAGCAACCATTCAATTCAAGTTTTTTGAAACACAACTCTTGAGAGTCTTCAGTCTTTTGATCCATGCAAAAGTCCTGCACGAATACAAAGAATTTAGTCACTTATCTTGCAGACTCGTCGAAATGAATTTCAACAAAGATTCAATAGATTCTCGATAATCAGCTGTTCAAATAGCGAACAAGAATTCTCAATATGATGTAACATACAGTGACTAAATGCTTAAATATTTACATTCATTTGTTCCACAACTTTGGCTGCCGATTGGCCTTGATTATTATCACTTTTCAAATAATAACACTCACACGCACTTTAATTTTTCATTTTGTTTGAGTTGTGTATTAAATTCAAATTAAATTTATACATTTTTATTTTGATACTAACACGTTTTATGTAGATCATTTACCAAGTACAAGTTACTAACCCAACACCACAAACCACAAACAACCCATCAATGCATATTCTTGATGTATGTATAAATATTGAAAATCAAAACAAAACAAACCAAATCAATTTTGTTTATTTTATAGTATCTTTAACTTAGTCAATGTTTTTCGTTTTCTCTTTCTTTTTTCGCACATATTTATATATTTTTTTTATACCAAATATTCGGTGCGTATATTTGCAATGCATTTGCCGTTCGTTTGCAATTTGCAACAATAAATTTGTAATTTAACTGCTGTAACTGTAAATTGAATTGCATAATTATGACTAACCAACCCAAACGACAAAATGGGCGATCGCACAAAACAACCAACCAACCACCACCACCACCACAACAACAAAAACAAAAACAACAACAAAAACAACAACAACAACACAAAAACACCATCGAAAACAACAAATCTTGTTTGTTGCCTGTGCACGTTTTTCTCTATAGCCTTTCCATTTTTGGTAGATGACACTAAAATGGACGTCGACTCGCCGCTGAGTCGCGCTCCCAAAATCAGCAGTAGCAGCGGCGGCGGCACTCCCAACGAAGTCGCATCGCCGGCTCGAAGCAATGCGAGCAGCAGCAGCGGTGGCGCCACAGCCGCCACTGCATCACCAGCAGCAGCAGCAACAACTGTGGCTGCCATTAAAAAAGAGTCGGAAGAGTCGTCCAAAGCGGCGTTGTCTGCAACAACGACAGCAGTTACAACAACAGCAGCATCATCTACAACAACAACAGCAGCAGCAGCAACAACAACAGCAGCAACACTAACAACAACTTCAACAGCAGCAGCAAAATCAGCTGACGATGCCACGCCGTCCACCTCAACAGCCGCAGCAGCAGTGTCAGCAGTTGATATCAAGGAAAAACCCGAGTCAGATGCTGCGCACAAAGCTGGCGAGGAGCAGCCTTCCAGCACAGCCAACAGTAGCAGCAGCAACAACAATAACAATAGCAGCAACAACACTGTGAATGCAACCAGCAGTAGTCCCAAGCGAAGCGACGATGTTGCAACAACAACTACCCCAGGTAGCGATGTGACTGTGAAGCAGGAACTGGAACACTTTGTGCATCCACCGTTACTACCACCGCATGCACAAGGACAACGTGAGGTAAGTTGTTGTGAGGATCCTTTACTTACCTTTACTTACCCGCTCTACTCCACTCCCAATTCTAGGATGAATCCTATTCACTATTCTATGCGAACAACAATTGGTATCTGTTCCTGCGACTGCACGCCATCCTCTGCGACCGATTGCACGTGATGTACGAGCGCGCGCGTCTGCTGGCCATTGAGGAGGAACGTTGCCGGGTGAATCGACGCGAGAGTACAGCGACAGCGTTGCGCTTGAAGCCTAAACCAGATGTGCAGGTGGAGGACTATTATCCCACGTTCCTCGATATGCTGAAGAATGTGCTTGACGGCAACATGGACTCGAACACCTTTGAGGACACGATGCGTGAAATGTTTGGCATCTATGCCTACATCTCCTTCACGCTGGACAAGGTGCGTCTAATCAGGCTTATGCCTTGATTAACTCTGAATACTAATCAAATATCTGCTCAATTTCTTTCTGTAGGTTGTTTCGAATGCCGTGCGACAGCTGCAGTATTGTGTTACGGAGCGTGCTGCTCTCGACTGTGTGGAGCTATTTGCCAGTGAACAGCGACGCCACAGCACTGGCGGCTATTGTCGCGACGCCCACAGGAGCTACGAGCGCGAGATGGGCTACCAGCGCAAGGCGGAGAACATACTCAACGAGGAGAACTGCTTCAAAGTGTACATTGTATGTTGTATTGATGGATTCATCATCCCACCCTCAACTAGTGTCTCTAATCTCTTTAATCTTTCACAACTATTCCAGTACAAGATCGACTGCCGTTTGACCATCGAATTGCTGGACTCGGAGCCCGAGGAAGTTGAAAAGCCAAATGTGGCAAAGGCGCAAAAGTTTAGCAAATATGTGGATCGTCTGACGAATCCAGCAATGGGTGCCGGCGCTAGCAGTAACAGCAGCAGCAACAACAATAACAACAGCAACAACAACAATAATAGCAATAGCAGCACTGGCGGCAACAATGCAACAGCATCTTCCAACACTGACAATCTGATGGAAACGTCCGACATCAAAGCGGAGGAGGAAGAGGAGAATGCCGAGGTGAGTGAACCCCAAAGCAACAGCAATAGCAGAAAAGTAAAATAGCAGCGAAAGAACAAAGTAACAGCTGCAAATAGCAGCAGCAGCAGCTTTGTGTGTGCTTGACGAGTGGTTAACCATGTTGTTTGTGTAATTCTCTGTTGTGATCAGTTGATTGTTTTGTTGTTGTTAAGTTTAGTTAACGGATTCACTTAAGTTACTCAATGACTCGCTCGATGTACGCCTAAATTGTATGTAAGCAACGTGTTTGTTTTTGTACAGCTGGGAAATTAATACGATACTACATATCAATAACCCTAATTTCGATAGTTTTTTCTATCCATGACATGTTAATTAATACTAAATTTATTCCTATATATATAATACATCACTAACAAGCCCAGCGCGCCAAGAGATCCCCTTCCAATTGAAAGTATAATGCCAAGCATGGAATAATTTGTCAATCAGTATCTTAGCTTAAATACCTTCCGAGTAATAAGTCTGAAACGAATTTGAGATAATAGAATTTTCCTTTTGGAACATATTTGTTCTTTTGAAATTTTTTAATGTTGTAAAATTTTGATTTGAATCAGGACCATCGATACTGTGGTCTCTCAGTTATATCTCAGAACAGTTCTTCTCCTTCAGATCCGCTAAAGCTAATTACGTACACCAGACCGTCATAAACACACACATGTATTTTTTTTTCTACATATGTATGTGTGTGTGTGTGCAAATACATACATGTGTATCATATTAATTGCTCTCTTGTTTCGTCTTTGTAAATATTTGGGTTCTTTTCCACTTTCTTCTCTACATTCACTCTTCTCGATATCGATATCGATATTTTCGTTGTTTTGTTTTTCTTTCTTTTTTTTTTTATATAATTCGTTCGTTTCTGCGTGCGGGACTGTTGTGCTTTTCGTACATCTACTTTTCTACAACTTTCCTTTTTATCGTTCTATTTCCTTTCCGTTTCGTCTCTCATTTCAACATGCCGCCTACCAATCGCCACATAATATCCGTATGCGAACCAAACAACAAAAATAAAACCGAAAAAAAGAAAAATGTTCACTAATTAATGCTTTTTTCTGCATTTTTTCTCTCATTTTTTCCACTTTAATTTTTTTGTACCAGGTCAATTCCAAGGCTTGAAATAACAAAATAGTTTTGATAATTTCATTGAATAAGAAGAAGAAAAAATCGTATTGCAAAATGAAATAGTAATTAATAAATTTGTTTTTTGAGATTAACCAACCAAAAACCGCAACAACAACAATAACAACAAAAACCAAAACCAAAGAAAACAGTTTTCATCCCAGTCACCATAAAATCCACCAACACCTGCACCACACACACACAAATGCATTCTCATCTCACAGATATACACATACACTAATTCACCACTACACCACTACCACCATCCAATTATTCACATGCATACACAGAGCATATTTGAATGTGAAAAGTTGAGTTGCCATAATACATAAAACTAAAAACATACATATGTAAATTTAGTACATACCCAAAAAAGAACACATATGCATACATAAATATGTTAACTAGTAGTTTCCAAAATAATATTCATAGGCACGCATTTATTGCAATTACTAATTTCTGATTTCGTTTTACTTTGCGTTCGTTCGTCCTCAAAGCAAGAATAACAAATACAATAAGACAATGCGGTAGAGCGCAGAGCGCAGATAGGCGAATGCTGTAAATAGGGAGAGAGCAACTCAAGTGTGCAGAGAGAGAATGGGAGCTATGAGTGGATGCAGTGTTGTTTACAATGTGATTGTTGTGTTTGCATGCATGCGAGTGTGTGGCGCCTGCATACGTTGATCGATTGTCGCATCGATTATTATCGAAAACTGTGTTGGTTAAATGCCAAATACTAGAGCAATCAAAACGTATAAATTAAACGAAAACAAATGTAAATAATGTTTGTAAGTATGTATGTATGTATGTATTACACGTAACTAGAGTTTAAGTGTTCAGCGTAGACAATTTTTGTAAATGGGTACGACAGTGAGAGTGAGAGAGTTTACTTTTAAACGTGTGTCCTGCTCTTATAGCAGGGGACAAAAACCAAACCGTAGGCGTGTGTTATATATAATTATATATTTAGCATTTTTTATAACTTCTCTACACACATACATGCATATAAGATCATCAATTGTAAACCCAATTGAAATATAAAACAGCATTTTTGATGATATGATGAAAAAGACGAACTGCTGTCTCTTGTTTGGTAGGGTATTTGGCATTTGGGTTTTCTGTTGCTTCCTTTTGGGCTTAGTGCAGCTGGTGGTGTGTGGCACACACACACACCCACACACACATATACGTACATACATTATGTGTATAGTGTACATAGTTGTATACGCTTTTAAGTTTTACGCAAGGTAAGTTATGCCTTACAAATCTCACGTATGCATAAATTCATTTTTAATTCAATTTACATAGACATAATCGATAAACGATATTTTTGTATGCTCTCTCCGAGGCATTTGTTTGCTTTAAGTGTGTATATTTGTTTATTTGTTTTTTTTTTTTGTTTCTATTAATGAATTGTATGTACATATGTAATTGTTGTTTGTTTTGCGTTTTTCAACTTTATAAGTTCAATAAGTTGTGTGTGTGCGTGTGTGCTATATATGTATGTGCATACCCCATATACATGCATACATACATACATGTGTCCAATCTTGGCCTGGTACTGTCTGTCTCTCTTATCAATTTGTGTCGTCTCTTCTTTGGTTCATTCTTCTCTTCTGCCTTAATTCTTGTATTCTGTCTTCTCGTATTAGTGCTAATTGTTAGTTATCGATAACTCGTAATCACACACACAGACCACATACACACGCACACACTTACACTCACACACATATATATACCTTAGGTTTAAGTGTACAATTTAATTACCTCTATTTATGTTTTGTGAAGCATGTTTGAATTGCATTTACAATTAATGTTTATGTTCAATCTTCTTGTGTCATATTCTTGTACAAATATACTTAATGCATTCTCTGTCATTATTCTCGTTTTTGCAGCTGTTTCGCGGCGCACGCAAAAGGCGTTTTCTGCTGCGCAACAAGCGCCGCTCGCAGCTGCATGAGGAGCAAGTGCGTCAGCTCTTTGAACAGAAGCGCATCTGCAGCGGCGATACAAATGCAACTCATACGCCCACTGCTGGTGCCGCTGCCGCTGCCGGGGCGACCGGGATGACAGGCGAGGCGGCAGCAAATGCCAGCAATAGCACCAATAATAACAACAACAACAATAACAATAACAACAATAATAATAATAACAATAACAACAACAGTTGGAATAAACGCGCACCGGAACGCTTGGGCGCCCCACAATTGGGGCTGGCGGAGCAGTATGCGATCAATGATCGCGACGAGATCAGCACCAATGCCAGCAATGGACGCTGCTTTGTGACCAGCAAGAATCTCAATCTACTCAAATACGATGCAGTGCGTCGTGCCAAGAAGGTGAGTCTCCCTCTCCCCCTCTCCAATTCTGGCCAATTGCTAATTCTCTCTTCGTTCATTTCCACAGAGTCACTGCCGAGTCACACAGGCCAAGTACAAGCGTTTCCATGGCTATGTGAATCGTTGGCTGCAACAGCATGTGAGCGAACAGCAGCAGCAGCATTGCAACGAATGGCTGATGGGCAAGACGCCGGAGCAAATCAATGCCAGCGGCTGGGGCGCCACCAGCAAGACCAAATCACTGCAGCAAAAGGATACGTCAAAGACGCCTTATCGCATCTATACGCGCTACAAGGTGCTACAACCATCCAGTAGCAGCGGCAGCAACGCAAATGTACCTGTCGCAACTACAACAGCAACAGCAGCAGCAACAATTGCAGCAAACATACCAGCAACAGTTGCCGCCGCTGTGGCAGCAGCAGCAGCGGCAACCACTGTTACATCCAGCACACACTCGAATCTCAATAATGCCATCAGCAGCAGCAACATTTTAAATGCCGACACAACGACAACATCAGCAACAGCAACAACAACAAATGCACCTCAACAGCATTGCAATAGTGCGGCAGCAGCAGCAGCAGCGGCCACAGCTGGCAATAATGCGGAGGCAGCGTTGCAGCAAGTGCGACCCATGGAAAGCTAACCGGCAATCGTTGCAACCGTTGCCGCCACCTGGGCACAAAATGCGGCATGCATGTGAAGCTTCAAGTGTTAATATAAATATTATAAATTGTGATAGCAGTTCTTGGACACAGTTTAAGCAGAATATAGCCTGCTATTGAGATAATGTGTGTGCGTGTGTTTGTGTGTGTCGAGCCAGATCTAAATCCAAACCGTAACCGTAACCTAACCGCAATCGGTAGTTAAAACCGGTGGCAAAAATCCAAGCTCTACTTTTTCATGCTGTACAAAAAGTCATTTAAATTCTAGGCGTAGTATTGCTCCTAATAATCATATTTCTAGGCTTACTACTACATCAACTTTTGAGTATCGCGTTTAGTGTTAGTTTATTTAATTATACGGCAGCGTTTCTAGCTATAAGTGATTCATATGTACACACACACACATACATACACAAACAAACACAATGATCGTCGTTGAGAAATAGAAATCCATACCCGTGTAAACCCCACAAGAGTTGTTGCGATCCTTAGCATGCTAAATAAAACACACAACACACATTTTAATAATTAACTGGAATCGTTTGTGGGGCGAATGCGGGACGAGTTTGTGCTAATTAAGTTAATATCAACGTCTGTTTAGCTTTTAAGATTTTATGAACCACACACAACTTTTAATTTTACAACAAAAAAGTAACGTATTTTTATACAAAACAAACCTTGTACAATTCCTTGTGAATACTATTGATTACACGCCTAACCTTAAGCTTAATTTAAGTTGTAAAGATCAGATGAGCCTAATTAAAAAACAAAAAACACGTATCAAAAGTGAAAACATTGGTCATTTTTTCTGCACTGGTGGATGAAAGGGCAAACGGAATAATGCAAAGGAAACTGAATAATTTATCAATTAGAGAATCTAAATGGGAAGCAAATAAAAAAAAGGATTTTATATTTAAAGGACAAAGTATATTTAAAGTGAATATAATTTCTACACAACTGAATAAAAAGATAAGCTAGTCTCATAAAAAATAGTATATCTTTATTACATCATTTTACACATACTTATATTTAAATATATATAGACTTTAAAAAAGGCGTTCGTGTCAACGTGTCAGCTATTCGAAAACTATAAAACTATATAGCAATCCTAATTATGGTGTGCCAATAGCCAAATATCACTTATATATGAAATCACGACGCGTTATAATGCCAGCAATCCGGTTTTCATTGCTGATAACTAGCATGTGCCGCAGGCCAAGGGCACGAAATATATTGAAGATCTTTGGCACCGAATCGTGCTGTCAATTAGAAATTAATTGTTATTTAACATTATGATACATAATTGTATATCCTTACATTATTTACGCGAACGGGTGATGGATTCATAAACATGGACAGGTCGACCGTATAATTTTCTTTTCTGTCCAATGGACGCACGCTCTACAAAAAAAAAAAAACAAAGATAAACATTTACAGGCGCGAAAATTAAACTGGATGGTTGTGCCGCGTACCTTAATAGAGGGATAGCGCGGATAAACCTCTCGAAAAGTTTGTATCGATGTTTCGGGCAGCCAGAAACGTTTGTTTTCCACGTAAAGCGATTTGAGCAATATGACAATAAGCTGGGAACGCAATATGATGCCACAGACGCGACCCTCACAGCGACGATTCTGTAAACAGTCGCAGTTGATGAGACTCAAAACCAACAACAATTAGTTGCAGCTACTCACGTCTTTTACATCGTCGACCACGGGAAATCCATTGTGGTCGCATCTCAGGAGCACTTCATAGATGTAATGGGCGCTGTCGCGCAGCTTGATGCAGACCACTGGCTTGCTCAGGATTTCCAAAGCAGTGAGGCCCTTATATTGTGGTACTGGCTCCCAGGGCAGAATGGGCGCATGACTCTCCTCGATGACCATGTCGTAGATGCCCTCGTTGAAGTAGTCGCCTACCCATTTGGCACTAATCAGTGCTATAATCAGCGGAAAGAAGAATGACGTCTCGGCGCCTGTCGTCTCCATTAAAATGACCGACAAGCTGATCGTCATGCGCAGCACGCCGCCCAAATGGGCAGCGGCACCAATCAGCGCGTACTTGCCCGGATTCAAAAAGTGCTGCAGAAGATGGCAAATATCGTTTTAATAGGAATATGGTTTGTGATGGGGAAACCTACTGCGTCGGGGAACCAATCTAAGAACTGCATAGCCACCAACCTTCCCCAAGCAGCGCCCACCAGCGCTGTGGGTATAAATACGCCCAAGGAGACATTGAGGCCGAAGGTGGCGCATGCTAGAAAATAGTAGACGAGCGTAAAGTAACCCACGGTTCTGATATTGTGTGCACCTGTTGAAAAGCAATATAGTAATAAGTTAACTTTACGGATACGTACTGGTATGCCTGGCTTAGGCTTACTTACCTTCTTCATCGTGGAAAAGCGCCCTCACAGTTGCCTCAGGTGTTTGGAACCAGAGTGCCGCCACCGCATTGTATTCATTATCTTCGCAAAAGAGCTGCACAGGATATGAGATTCGTTCCTTGTCCAGCGGACGGCAATCATCGATGAAGTAGATCATTATGGTGGCCAATGTGACGCCTATGATGGAAATAACCACAGCCTCAGCCACCTTGCCCAGTTTCCACGGCACAAAGCGTCGGCGTACTTTGTTGATCAGCGTATTCAAAGCGTTCCAGGTGGCGCCCAGAAGTCCGCCAGCCACTCCGAACAGCATGAAGATGGGCAGCTCAAAGTAAGCAAAGGTGAGGGGTTCCTTAAACTTGCCAAGATTGAAGAGACCTGTGAAGGTGAAGTTCTCCAGTCCCTTATAGGCGGAGAGCACAATGTTAAGTGTAAACGAACTGATAATGGAGGCGATTAGGGTGCGCCAAATGAGGTTTTGATTCCAAAAACTGGCTGCCTCCTCCAGCGAGAACAACATTCCGCCAATGGGTGCACCGAAAGCGGCTGCAACACCCGCCGCACCGCCACCCAAAACAAAGTCACGCTTCTCGTGATCATCGCGAAAGGCCTTAAAGATGCGAAAGTCCTTGACAAACGTGGTGCTCTTGCCCTGCGAGATGCCTGCGGCAACAACGGCGCCAGCATGAATCATTGGTCCCTCCTTGCCACCGGCTAAGCCGCCCACAACGGTTGTGATGACTCCAATGGTCTTCACTGCCATCGTCTTGATGCGCACAATGCGGGGCACCTTTACACCATTCAGATAGCACTTCACCTGCGGTATGCCGCTGCCGGCGGTAATTGGTTCGATGTAGGTAACCATGGTAGCGCCAACGGCCACAGGGACAACGCTCAGCAGTAACCACCAGAGGTAGGGCAACGCCAAATCACCATCGCCACCATTTACAGGCACATTCTGCTCCACAGCTGTGGGACACACGAATGCGGAGAGATTAATTAATTATATGCAGAATGGATCGCAATTTTATACTATAGGAGTGGCTTGGAAAGGATTATAATTTCTGGTTTAGAATGATTCTGATAAATTATCAATTAAAATTTCATGAATGAGTTTTTCAAATCTCTGGGAAATAATGATTCTGATTATAAATTAAAGTTTCATGAATGAGATATTCATTTTTCTTGGAAATAATGATTCTGTTTACTATAAATTAAATTGCATAGCTGGTATTTATGAACTCTGAAATTCAAAAATAGTTTGCTGAAATCACAAATTTCTGTAAGCGATATCTGTATCTATAGTTTTGTAATACATACACGCTTTAAGAAACTTGTACTTCTGTTCCGATAGTAGATCAATGACTATATTTACAAAGCAGGCATTAAGCGCTGTTATAATGCCAATTAGTATAAAAATTATCCAGCGTATGACATGGATGCGGAGGGAGAAGCGATCCCTAAGACGCTTGCGCTGCTCCGCGTGGAACAGCTTGTTTTCACACACATCATAGTCCAGGCTCTTTAAAGAAGTGTATATATGTGTGCATAGATTAAATTTTAATCCGCTATATACATATATGTGTACAAGGGCGTACTAAGCTTGTCGTAAGGATAAACCCTTGCATATGTACATAGATATGTATTTTCTTGATAAACGTACCTCATATTGAATTTGCGGTCGCTGTAAAGTTCCCGCAGCTGCTGTTCGCGAGCGCAAATGGAATATGGGATCAGAATCCAAATCGTTACTGTGGTCGCCCGTATCGTTGTTGCTGCTGCTACTCTGCGATGTAGTTGGAGCCTTCATAAAATAAAGTTCACTTAGCATTTTGCGATAAGTTAGCTATTCACATGATGAATCATCCCATTTTTTTTTTCAATGGGTACAGCAACAACATGGCAATCCGAATAACTTACTTGGATGGACGCGGTCGGTTCACTATCAATGCTTAAAAGGGGAGGCACAACTGCATTGTCTTCATTTTCGTCAGTTGGCGTATTAAAATCATTACTTCTGCTGGTCGACGCTTCTTCATTGTCAACCAACCAAGTGTTATTTATTGGTTTAACTTCATCGTCATCGCTTGAAATGTCTTCTTCGATATCAATTAGTTGGTGTTTGTCCGACATATTATCAACTATAAAACCATTAAAATAAACTACACAACTAGAACCATACACAATAATTGAACAAACTTCAACTAGTTATTCGTAGTCGAAAAACATCGATATATTTGATAATGAGCAGACTCTTATCGATAACATTTTACATGTACTCGATGCCAGTCAATGCTTTGAATAGAAAAATACCAGAAGAGCGATTTCTAACGTTTATTAAATGAAATAGCAATAAAGCTTCTCTATCGACTGGCATCAAAATTGAAATTAGGATGCAGAAATTTAAACTTGGCCATGTCCAACAGTAAGCGATTGCGCTCGATCTGATTGCGGGCCAGCATCTCATCCCGAATGTCCGCCAGCGAGTTGTCGATGCGCACCAAAACCTCACGCGATGGTCCATTGACAAAAGCGGTCAATTCCTGTGCGCGTGCTATGCCAATTTCAACATTCTGCACGGCGTGGGTCAGAGCGTTGGGTGCTACTATCTCATCACATTGCAGCCACGAGTTGCGGCTGAGATCAATGGCCTCCGGCTGGTCGACGCTCATCTGTTGTGGCTGCTGCTGCTGCTCCGGCTTGATCGGACTGAAGGGGAACATGCGCGGTATGCTGACCATGGCTGTCATTTCAATTGCCTCGCCAGTTGCAGGGGGCACCTCCTCCAATGTACTCACTGTGCCTGTGTTCACATTCAGCTTGAAATTAAGATTCGATTATTTTTGATTTTAGATTCAATATTCTTAACCAGATTGCTTATGTCAAAAATATTAATAATATTGCATTGTTACAGCTTACTTACATGTTGTGCATGCCGTAGTTGCTGTATACTGTTATTATTATTATAAGCAATGGTAATGTTCTTGTTGTTGTTATTGTTGTTACTGTTAATATTATTATCTTGCTTTGTACTACAGATGGATAATTTATCTGTGCCTTGGATAACGTTATCTTGCGAAGAATCGCAGGAAGAGGTGGACTAAAAAGAAAATATTAATTCTTAAACACAAATAATATGCTATTTCATTCAATGCCGTTCTGCTAAAGCAGATACAAAAATGTATGTATGTAAATACATATACGCGTTATTTATATGTGCGCAACTATAACGGTAAATAAAATTTCTGTTTACTCTAAACTCCATATACACATCATAGTTAGACAAGGACAACAAATATTTTATTTCTTACTCTTCGTATTGCCGCTTCCTCCTGTTCGTAGTGCTCTTGTTTGTGTCGCTGAAAAACCGTTTTGATTTTCAGCTCATGCGTCTCGGAGCCTGTGCTTGTTGTTGTTGGTACTTCTATGGCTGAAGCTGCGGCTGCGGCTGCGTCCATCGAACCTGTAACAGCGTCCGGCGTTGTAGATTTCTTGCGATTTTTGGCGACACGACGGTTTTTTGTATTGCGATGACGTCGTTCCAGCAGCGCCGCCACCTTCATTTGGTGCAATTTGCCCAGCAAAAATGCATGTCGACGCTTTGAAAGATTTGCAAGTTAATCTTTTATTTTGCTATTTGTATGTCTAACGTGGCCAACGAGGGCTACCTTGATGTGCATATGAAAATTTCCGGTGGAGCGCACACTGCCCCGATAAATGCGATCCGGCGGACAGTAGCAACACTTTACGGTCACATTGTCGCCAATCTGACTCTCAATCCGATAAAGCTCCCCATTCAGTATATATGGAACGTGCTGCTGATTGTCTGGCTCAGATTTGATTTCAGCTTGCTCGAACTCTGGGTCTTCGTCCAGTTCGGGTTGCTTGGCTTTTGGCATTGCACACCCAAATTGCAAAACTTAAAAGATCCGTTCCCAGCTAACTGCCGAGTTCAATTGAACCTTCCTATCCCAATTCTGTTTGCCTGTGTGTGTGTGCAACAAAGGAAACGAAAAATGTCCGAAATAGATACACACATGCATGTGTGAGTACAAAAAATACTGTTGAAAAGGAGTTCGAAAGTGTTCAAAGAAGAACAAAAAAAAACAAAAGGCAATGGACAACATTATTTATGACAGGGACGGGAAGTAATGTCATCAAATTTTCTACTAATTGAATTGTCAAATATATTTCGTAAAAATCGCCTATATTTAATTTATAATAAATTAAATTAAATTTATTATTGTTAAGTGTATTAGAGAAAAACAGTTTGTTAGATTCCAATCCTACTTGAAATACTTAAGCTTCTGGCGCCGAAGTACTCATAAGCCACTTGAAGAAATATCGATGCTTTAGCCTATTAGTGTCTTGCAGCCCTGGTCGCCTCACGTTTTTTGTATTGAGCACAAACAACTTGCAATGACGGAAACAATCAAGCCAAATATATTAATTACCGGTGAGAATTCCATTGATTCACAATGCTTAAGCTAGCTACATCAATATACAAGATACACAGGCACACCCGGCGTTGGTAAATCGTATTTGTGCGACCGTCTGGCGGAACAATTAAAGTTCACCTGGCTGGACTGCTCGAAAATTGCAAAGGAACTTAATTTCATTGAGGAATACGATAAGGAATATGATTGTCCCATACTCGATGAGGATAAGGTATGCGTATATACTAAAATAAATAAATAATAAATACTAAAAGAGTAAATAACGAGCTTGCATTTAATTTCAGCTCATGGATCATCTGGAGCCGCTGATGGCCAACGGCGGCAACATTGTCGAATACCATGGCTGCGATTTCTTTCCGGAGCGCTGGTTCCAGGCCGTCTTCGTTGTCAGCTGCGCCAACGACACACTCTACGACAGACTTAAAGAGCGCAACTATAATGAGAAAAAGCTATCGTCCAATATAGAATGCGAAATCTTTGGCACCATATTGGAGGAAGCGCGGGATTCATATAAAAGTGATATCATCTATGAGATTAGTGGTGACACCAAAGCGGATGCCGAAAAAAGCCTAAATACAGTAAAGAATTGGTATAGCATGTGGAAGCGCAAGTGAAAATTGACTTAATAAATAACAATTTATATTTATATTTTTATTTACTCACATTTTCTCGGAAGGGAAATATGGTCACTCTACTTCGCTTCTTTAGCGGGTAACTGAGACAGCATGTGCACAAGCCAGTAATATACATTTTGGTTGGTGTATTGGGTAAAGGGCATACGAAAATATTTAGCAGCATACTTTGAGGGGCATCGAAAACTATTAAAAATTATATATAACTCTGTCATGTCCTTGCAGGTATTCGAAGGACATGCTGCTTTAGAATTGCATTCAAGATTTGTAAGGTAATCTATTCAAATGTATTGAAGGGGCTTGAAAACGTAAAATCCTCTATTTTCGGATATTACCAGAATGATTTAAATACGAATGACACATAAAATAAATAAAATCATCAAGGAATTGAAGTAGGTGTCTTTAATCGTTCAGACCTCTGCAGATAAATCTTGTCAGTGGTTTTATGTATATTTAATAGATATGTTTAAGACTTAAATGAACAAATACTTATAGTATATTATATAGAATATATGCACTAGATGCGTGTCATTTTGAATCGCAATGGACCATCCGGCGCATACATGAAGGTGACGGCATAGTCCAACGGCGGATGATTGTACTCCAGTCTATAGTTGCGCAACAGTTTTGCGAGCAGTATTTGCATTTCCAGATCGGCGAAACGGCGTCCCAGGCACATCCGGGCACCGTAGCCGTAGGGCAGCGAGGAGAACGGATGCAGCTTGCCGGGAGTGCCGCCCTGGTGCGTCTTCAACCAGCGTTCGGGACGGAATGTGGCTGCATCAGTGACATATTCCTCCATGTTGCCCGTGACAATAGTGGGAAAGACGGCCTACCATCATTATATGAACTTATTATAATATTTGCAATAATTGTATTGTTTGCTGACCTGAACGCCCTTGGGAACCTGATAGCCACATATAACGCTATCCTCTTGGAGGGTGCGTCCATTTCCGATGACCGTGCTGTACATACGAAAGACCTCCTTGATGAACGCCTTCAGATGGTGCATTTGGTCGAGCAGCGGGATCGTCAGTGGTGTATTGGCATCGGGCAGCAGTCGCTTCAGCTCCTCGTGTACCTTCTGCTGCTCCCCTGGTCGCGTGGCCAGCTGATATAGAATGGAGCAGACGGCCATGGAAATCTGTGGCAGACAAGACAAATCAGCTCAAATCAGTCCTGTGCGCAGCTGTTGAATCAGCAGCACTCACCGTATCGATGCCCACGAGTATCAAGTCCAGTGCCATTATGGTGGCAATCTTCTCATCCTTCTCCGACATGATCACCTTCTCGAGCAGCGATGGCTCGCCACCAGCACGCTGACTGCCATCCTGGGTCTTCAGCCGCTCCGTTGCGCTCTGTATGTACTTCATGCAGACGCTGTATGAAGTTCAATGCAACAATTAAATTAAATAGTTGCTTTGCTGTTGCTTTTGTTTCATTGGCTTACCCAACGAAGAAGTTCATGTTCTTCACATAGCGTGTCCACAGCGGGGTGGGGAAATAGCGCCAGTATGGCGCCTTCAGTTCCAACGTGGCCACATTGCGTAGCGCATACTTTGCCGCATCGATGATCTGCTGCGGCTCCGAGTCCGGCGTGAGATTGTCCTCCAAGCAGCCAAGACGAGTGTCCAGTGCCACATGACCAATGCCTGCCGGGAGCCAAAATCAGAGGAGCTTGATTTAATGTACACATTAAACAAATTGGAAATCGGACCGGTTCACATGTTAATTCTCGTAATTTTGACTGATTTGATATAGATTAGCGAAATTATTACAATAAATAATGATTGCGAATGACTCTGCACAAATTGTGTTTACAGCAATTTTAGATTTGAAATTTCGACTCTCATAATTCGATTCATAATTCAGTCTGTTAATTGACAAACAATAATAAGAGTTCTTTCAAAAACATGCATTTTTGAAGCGATCACTCACATTCCAGAGACCATTTGTGTATTTCATTATCGAAATCAGCGGGCAGCTCCTCGTTGGCATCCAGCAGCTGTTCGCAGCGCATCAGGAAATCATCGGTGATCAGCTCCAGCGGTTGCAGATACCGTCTTATGGTGGACAACTGCAGCACGGGCTTCTGCACACGCGAGCGGAACTGGCGCCAGGGCTCGCCATGGCTAAATGTAAATACACAATTAATGGAGGGGGCTAATGGATTATGCATTAGGCATTGACTGCGTACACTCCAACAACGCCGCCAAGTTCACCAAAGAAATCCTTGCGCACCACGCTCTTGTACTTGACCAGGCTGGGCATCGATGGCCGGAAGGGGGTGGGCCCCTCGCTGCGATAGCACTGCAAGAGAATAATGATTTCTGTTGTACCTAAACTTAAATATGTGGCAATTGCCAGCTGGCAATTGACGCAACTGCGTCCCAAATCGTGGCCAGTCGAGCGTGCTCCGCGTGGAGTTTATCGCCGCGTTCCGGTGCGTGGATCCGCTGTTTACCTTTTCAATTTCGTCGGCATCGTAGATGAAGAGCAGATCGGGCCGGCCGATGAGGCCAGAGAAGCGCACAATTCGCCCGTATCTGTCGTGCAGCAGCGATGAGATTTTAGCCACGTCCGAAATGTTGTATTGGCCAATGATTGGCATTAGACTGTCAAGGTGACAACAAAACACAAATAAGTCATTGAAAAGCATCAATTGCCAGGCAATTAGGGTTACGAAGGCTAAATTGTGAGAATACAAATTGTGTTTGTGTCTGATTTGCTATGATTCAGACCCAATTTCAATTTGGCAACACTATAAGCCACACATTCATCTAGCAAATTTCAAAACAAAACAATTTTTAAGGAAGCAGTAATATTAAGAAACATAAAATAAGTTGCTTAATCTGCTGTGCATTTTATAACATTTTTAGCCACAACTCAATTAAGTCTCAAAAATATTATGAGCTTGAATAGATGCCAGTATTTGTGCAAATCAAATTGCGAAATACTTAACTCTTCCCCATCCAAGAGACAAGTGCACCTTTTTGCAAAAAAGACACACAAACCGCATTCATGTTCGTGTAGTGAATAAATACGCTGGTAATGATTGTTTGCATTTTATTTGAAGCCTGCATCCGAAAGCGAATTCACACTATTTGTCGACCTTGAAAATGGCGCTAATTGAACGTTAATAAAAAGTAAGAAGAAAAAGAAGAAGAAGCAGACATGTGAAGTATGAGTCGATTTTGAACGGTCAGCGGGCGGTGGGCGAGATGCTAACAGATGCCCAGTCGTACGCTCGTACCACCAACAGAGTTTATTGGCTAGACTTAAGAGGTAAATGGGTGCGAATTAAGGGAATTCCAAAGGAATTTGCAGAGCTCTTCTTCTTCTTGTTGTCGTTGTCGTTGTTGTGGTTTTGTAAATATATTTGTGAATGGCTTAATGTTAATGAGTGTTGGGCGCAGCAGTGTTGTTTGACTAAGAAACACGTTTGGATATGGTCAGTGAAATGATTTGCTTTTACAAGCAGAAAACCAACAAGAAGCGAACAAGATAATCATCACACACACACACACACACACATCTAGCATACACATGCATTCCAATCCATCATTAATTGGGTCAAGCGAAGCACGCGAAATGAAAGAAATAACTGTGCGCTGTCTCTTTCACTCAATGCAGTCATTGTTCGCATTGCAAGGCTTGAAAAGAGAAAGCAAGTTTATCGCCGAATTCTCTGTTTTTTTATTTTTATTTTTTCATTCCTTCTTTCCCACATACCGCCAAGTGTTGCCAAGTATTGGCATCGGTTTTGGTCCTGGTATCTCGTTGTAGGCCAATGCATTTTGCCATTCGGCCGTCGCATGGATGCGTGCTGCAGCTGTTGGCAGTTGCTCCTGCTCCACATCGAGATGGGGACAAACTGTTGCTGCTGCTGCTGCTGCTGTAGTTGCTCCCGTGGCTGCTGCTGAATTGTCGCGCCATTGTTGCCGCAGCAGACTCTGCGTTGTGGCAGCCTTACCACTACTGATCTTCGACACTGTGCGTCGGAGAGTCGCAATGGGCGTGACTGTTGTTGAGGTTGGGGCTTTGACACGCCAAGCGCATTTGGTCAGTTGATTCATTGCGTACGCGAATTGAAAGCTTTTGACGAAATTTAATTGAAATTCCAATCAGATTTCACTCGTTTGCCGTTTCGTTTTCCAATTGTTTAATTTTAATGTTAATGTTGACACACACACACTCAAAGAAAGACACACACGCTTGTAAAAGCTGCATATGAACAGTGCTAGCTGGTTTAAGAAGAACTTCTTTGATTCGAACTGCGAATCTTTAGTGTAAGCCGTTTCCGCTGTGCACTCCACGGCTGCCAGATGTAAACTGGTTAACTACGAAAAAAGCTAAATTCAACTCTTGAGTCGCGCCAACTCTCTTGCTGGTGCTGGCAGTGGGGCTGGTCGCGTCAGCTGCTTTCTAATGAGTGTTGACGGCTGCGCTTGCGCAAGCTTTGAAAACGTTTTCGTTCAGTTTCTAAGTGTTTCAGCGCCAAGCAGACAATAATAGCATGCTTAATGGTTTCAGCAACATTTATGCATACAACTAGCTAAATACATTTTGATCGTCATCGTGATATCGCTGCTACGTAAATTATAATTTCACATATTTAACAGAAATATTTTGAAATTCTAATTGAAACTAAAAAATATGACCCTGGAGCAACTAAATCACTCTCATGCACGGCTAATAATAATGCTAAAAGCGCTCATTTAAATCTCTGAAAAAAAGTGTTCTTAATTCTCTCTTTTTTCTGAGACTAGTTTTAAAGTTGCTAAATGTCAGCGTCTCATTTTTTAAACGGGACAGAAACTTAAATTTTGTAAAAATAACAAATCAACAAAATGCATACTTTTTTTTTAATAGCTTCCAGTCTGTGTATGTGAATTATTATTGTATCAGATTAATCACTAGCATTCCCCTTTTTCATGGTCAATCATACGGAACCTACGCAGATAAACCTATATTAGTTGGTACATTAATTGATCTTATGCACACTCCGATAAATACACAAAAATTAAATGAAAACGATTTTTTTTATTGTGATTTGCTATTATAAATATTATAAATATAAAATGTACGATTCCAATATACAAGATGTAATATACATATATATTATGCAGCTTATAAAATCATATAATTTAGTTTGAAAAAACTTACAGCTCGAGCATTTGGACTTTCTGGTTTTCAATTCGATTTTCATTTTAGGTGGTTTTTCTCGGAGTGTATTTATTATTATTATACCTAAGGTATTCAGAGTACATTGGCTTTGTGCAATGTACGTTACGCTGTCTGTCCGTCTGGAAAAACGCAACTCTTTCCGACATCCTTAAAGCTAGAGCCTTGAAGCTTGGAAATTAGGTTTCTACGTCTACTTGGAGGCTAGGAAATCGATAAAATATCCCACAATTTGAAAGCTACTGTCACTAAATTTTGTTGTTTAGAGCAAAAGGTTACCAAACAGGGAAGATATATTACAAGGAGGCTCCTTCAAAGATCGGTATTTCTCTCTACATCCGCTCTGTTCTGTGGCATCTGTTTTTTGATGGTCTTAGTATCAGAGTATTGAGCAGTTGGTTATGCTCGAGTGCAAGTTTTTAAAATGTTTAATTTGAATAATAATAAATTCCTTTATCGATAATACAGTTGATAAGTCTAGTGAAATCAGTGAACCTCAACTGTTTAATTATCTGAACAATGGGTAAATATAAATGATATTACATACTCGACGATTGTCATTAGTGAGCGAAATATAATGAAGTCCACAACTTGGCTAGCTTGGTTTAGTGTAACGGTGCTTCTGTTGCTAGAATCGGTCGATTGTGGAAAACCGAAATCCCGGTTTAACAATCTTAAGTGCGAGTCATATGATCTAGCCTTTTCAAAATTCAAGAAGTGCAAGCTTAATGTTGTCGGTAGGGGTGTTGTTGCCTTGAATGTGTACATCAATTTGTTCAAAGTGCCGATCTACAATGTGAATGTGAGTGTTTTAATTTAAATAATTAGCTGTGTGTATAATAAATAATCCTTGTGCAGATTAACTGGAGCTTTTGGCGCCGATACAATACTTTCCAACCATTTCTGTACAATATCAGCTCCAATTTCTGTGAACTCGTCGCACATCCGAACATGTTCACATTTGAGGGACTTGTGCTCAAGGCAATCATGACACGCTCCAATTTAAATCACACTTGTCCCTATGATGTGAGTTTGTTTGCACTTCAAAATGTGGAGTTTTATCTTTTGACAGATCGTTTATTTATAATACCAGCACGATATCATTATTGATAATTTGGTGTTCTACGATGGATTCCTAAATTCGCTGCCATTGCCACAAGGCGAGTACAAAGTAAAATTGCTTTTTGCTGCGGATAAAATCTGGAGACTTATGGTCGAAGTGTACATCCTGAGGGAAGAATAAGTCGAAAAACAAAATCATAATTGATTTTTTATACAATTTCATTTTTATTATGCAAATCTCACAACTTGCTCACAAAATTTGGTGGCAAATAAAACAAATACATTTTAGTGCATTAAGTTTTTGGATTTGAATTGAATTGAGTTGAATTGAGAGAATATTGTGCATAGCAATATGATCAAATTTCATGAAAATTTCGTTCAATTGCCTGACAATAAAATACAAAATGAAAACACATGCTTTTAGACATTGAATTTTGAACACATCAAAATACGATACAAAAAATGAAGTCGGATTTCTTATAGATAACATTACATATATGCATACTCGTATAGTAGTTAAATATTAAATGCTCTGCTGGCTTTACTAAGGGATTACAGTCTAGAATGTTCGTCGTATTGTAAGCTTAAGTATTTAGGAGTTGTAACAAATTAAAATGAATGAATGAAAGTCAAGAAATGGCACGTCTTAAAACTCAAAACTAAACGAATGCTACATAATTCGAATGTTTTGTTTTGATTGTTTAGTTATTATAATAATGTTTTGAAGACTTGACATATATTTGATGAGACTTAGCTTAGATGCTTGTAAGATGGCTCCGATGATGCATGCATTGTGTTGTCTGTGTTTGTTTAATGTATAGTTGAATGTTAAATATGGTATTTGCTTAAGAGTAGGTTCCATAAATATGCCACTGACTGTGAGAGATAGAGAGTCCTTTCGCACATTATGCATTACAATTAACTATGCTAAGTGCTAATTAGATATATCTATATATATTTATATGGCGTCGCTTCTATTTACATATTTCGCACATGGCACTCACTAGAAACAAAAAAATTAAATCAAAATTTGATTACCAAACCAAGAAACTAAACATGAAACTAAAATAAAATAAACAATTAACATTGCGAACATTGTTTGAATCCAGCTAATACTTTTGGCCTGCTGCAGTGTTAACACTCAAACTCGTTGGCCGTTATGGCGCTCAGATCCTTCATTAGGCCCTCCAGATTGGCCATCTCTTGGTTCAATTCCTCGGTGGATGTGCTGGGCGCCAGTCTTTGTATCTCATCGGTGGAATGCGCCACAGAGCTGCCGCCCTGCAAGCGATTGGGTGTGGCAGCCGAGAACGAGGGCTTCTTATAGGGCGATTGATTTTGTGGACGTATTGTGACAGCAGGAGCTATAAAATGAAAAGAAAATGTCAAGGATTAGCTAAAGTCGACCTTTTGTGTATTGCATTTGCCACTTACTGTGCTTGTTGATGGGCGTGGTTACGCCTGTGGGCGGCGGACCAGGCACACTAAAACTTTTAAGCGGATGTCCGCGCTTATTGCTCTCAATGGTGGAAACACAGCCATTGCCAGCAGCCCCACCTCCGCCCGCTGTGCCGCTCGTGTAGCCAGCATTGCTGTTAGAAAAAGAAAAGAAAGCGAGCACGTGCCGAGCAAAAAATGGGTTAATTAGTTATTATTTTACAAAAAAAAATTACGAAAATGAAATTGAGAAACACTGAATCTCTAGCGAAATGAATGATTAGCTGCGCTGGCTGCCCAGAAAGTGGAGCAAGCGCGCCTGCTGAACCTGCTGAGCCTCGGCAGCCAGCTGCATGTACGGCTGACGATCGACGATGCTCATCTGGCGCCACGCGTGCATCGCTAGATTGGTGACTGCTGCCGAAGTGCGCGTAGTGTAGACTCCTTTGAGATGATGGTTAATCAGTAAGGTGTCCAGCCGAAACTTGTTTAGGTAATTGAGAAACGCAGATGGTGAGGCCATCAAAAGCAACTGCTGCCGCACATAGCCGGGCAGCGTTCCTTGGTCTAGGTGGAGCTCACGACCTGTGTGACCCGGCATCAAATCCACAGCAACACTGGGATCGATGCGTCCCCAACGCGTTCGATTACACATTCTTTTTCGAATTTCTGGTGTGAGTTCCAAAATACGGTCCAACTTTCGATGAATTTTGATTTCAAATAAAAAACTGATCGCCTGCTATTCATACTTGGATTTTATGGATCTTTGGGGTTTATTTTTGAACCCTTGCATGTCGGTAATTGGATTGGACAGGACACCATGACAAATTTTAATCATAATAATTTCCACTGACTTTTCTCGTATAATAATTGCGAATTGACTTCGGATTGTGGCAGCTTAAGAAGCTTCAATTATTTCTTTAAGCATCTGGGTGAAGTTGGATTAGAAATTTTGACTTCGCGGTCAAACTTCAGCTCAAAGAATGATCGATGTGTCGTCAAGTCAAAATGCTGGTCGACTTGGCAGTAAATATATAAAATCCATTACAATTAATAATAACCTACCAGAAGTTGGCATCGTAGCCACCGTATGGGTGCTCTGGTGTCTGGGCCAGCGAATTGTTTTGCGGCTGTGTGAGACTCTGCTGGGAGAGACCCGTCTCCATGGTCATGTGGGAGCGATTCTGATGATTGTACTGGGTGCGCGGATACTGCGGTCGCTCCATGGTCGAGTTCATTGACGTAGCTGCTAGTTGAGAGACATTAGGGAGGATTAGGATTAAGCTGCACTCAACAGTCGGCTGGATTTCAACTCACTCATATAATTGGCTGGGTAGGCGCGCTTGTCCAGCGAGTTGGTCACATGCGCCGGCACCGGAGTCTCCACCTCGTACTCGCTGCTGTGCACCACGGAGCGTGGCAGCGTCAAGGCGCCGCTGCTGGAGGCATTATCGCTGCAAACAGGCGTCGCACTGTGCAGACTCTTGTCAATGTTCTTCAGTTCCATTTGATCGTGATGTATCCATAGATCCGGTGGCTTGGGTACACCCACATTGTTCTTCTGGTAGCTGTGGAGATTCAAAACAAATTTAAAACAAATTAATATTTTTAATAGTTTGATCAACTATGAATCATAAAGGGTTACAACTTGGATGACTTCAGCTCTACAACTTTGGGAGCCGCTAACTTCTCAATCTGTTGTTTACCTCTTCTTGGTGTGCTCTGGGGAGGATTGCGGCTTCCGGCGACAGACCAGCAGTAGAACCAACAACAATATGAGGAGAACGAGAATCGTTCCACCGACGATGAGGTACAATAGATTTTGATTATCAATGCCGTGGGCGATGGTGTCCGCCTCCTGCATGATGACTGCGGCGCTGGTCGTGAATGCCACCAGGGCGGAGAAGGGGGCATTGCTGCTGCCCTTGGTGGTGCGTGCCTGCACCTTAAAGTAGTAGGTAGTGTAGGGTTTCAGGTTGGGCAACATCAGCATTGTCTCCTCGCCGGCGAACGCCTCAATGGACCAGTCCCGATCCCGTTTCGTCGTGTCTGTCGTATAGTAAATATTATAGCCAGTGATCTGACCCACTGTATGCTTTGGTTGCAGCCACTGTACGATGACATTGTGCGGATTCTGTTCGTCGAGGCGGACGCTGAGCTCCCGCGGTGGCGTCACTGGCACATTCTGATAGGTGCTGTTCAGGACGGACATGGACCAGGCGGATTCGCGTCGACCCTTCACGACCTTGACGGCAAACTCGTATTGCGTGTTCGGACGGAGATCGTTGATCATGTAGTTTAGATCGCTGGTGTTGTGGTAGCGATACCGATTGGAGCCAGTGATGCCATAGCTGATGGTGTAGTGACGATTGTCGGTCACATGCTGGTTCTTATTGAGCATCGTGTCGATCCAGTAGACGACAATCGACGAGCTCGACATGGTAATGGCGCGCAGGCCGACGGGCACCTCCAGCGGCACTGGTACATCCAGCGGTTCATCGTCGCGCGTCTTAATGTTATCATAGATGGGTGGGCCATCGCCTTTGACATTGCGTGCTCGCAGCGAGACGACATACTCCATATTGGATTCGAGATTCTTGAGCACATGGTAGCGTTCCGTTTCCTTCAGCTCGATGGTGTTCTCATCGGGTATGCCCCGACCCCAGCCCAAAACATAGTTGCGTATCTTGATCTCCGGCTGCTGCGGTGGCCCCCAGTGCAGTCCGATATTATCGGCACCAGGATGTATATTTATCCAGACGGGCTTGCCCGGCACCTGCGTCTCATCCAGATCATTCTCCAGTGTATTCGCACGATACCATTCGGTAAATGGCCCCGATCCGTTCACAGTCATTGCAGCAATCTTCACCTGATACTCGGCGTTGCGATCCAGTGTGTTCAACTCAAAGTAGCGTATGTTCGCCGGGGTACTCTTTGCTTGCGGCGCATCCTTATACTTGCGATAGCGTATCTTATAGCCGGTTATCTGACCATTGCAATCCTCCTCCGCTGGCGGCTCCCAGTGCACAGTAATGGACTAAGGAAGAGATAAGAGGAAAAGGATTAAAATAGATCCACATTACGAGATGGTTGGAATACTTACGCTTGAGCTGGTCACCTCCAGTGTGACATTGTTGGGCGGCTCTGAGGGCGTTGAGGAATAGGTTTTAACCTTCAGCTCGGCGGACGGATCACCCATGCCGTTGTGATTGAAGGGCACCACGCTGATCACATAGTCTGTGAAGGGACGCAGCTCCGTGAGCACCAGCTCCAGCGACATGCTGTCATTGTACAGATCTGCACCGCTATCGTTCTGTGAATGAAGTCAGAATTATGATGTGCTGCTAGGGCCAAGTTGAGTTCACCTACCTCGGAGTAGTAGACACGATACTTGAGTATCTCGCCATTTGTCACCGTGGGCGGTTGCCAGTGCACGAAGATCTCCTTGTGATTACGGGCATAGGCGTCCACATTGCGCGGCGGCCCGGCAATGTTCACCTCGGGCTGTGTGCTCGCCTCCAGTGGTAGGGAGGATTCACCCATGCCAAAGTTGGTGTTGGCTACAACACGGAACTGATAGGTTCTGCCTGGCAACAGCGATTGTATGCTGACCTGTTGATCCTCGTGTGATTTGGTCACAATCTTTTGCTCGCTACGGACACGAATGAAGATTAACAACTGATCCAAGAATAGAGGAGGGTCGAAGCGAGGTCAAACTTACCGTTCGCTGTTGTTCATGCGATAGTAGACGGTGTAGGAGACGACCTCGTTGGCATTCTGCTGCGGCTCCTGCCAGCTGAGCGTCACGAAACGCGGCTTCACAATCTGCGCGACTAGGCTGCGTGGTGCACCAGGCAGGCGGGCCAGGAGACCACTGCTTAAGGGCTTCACATCACTGGTGGAGATGTCCTCGCCGGCTGTTGAATCTGTTAAGGCAAAATTGGATTTTGGGGACATTTGTTGCTGTTGCTGTAGTTGGGCTTTGTTCTTGTGCCTCTGCGGCCAGGAGGCGCTCACATCTTCATCGTCATCGTTATAGTCATTGTCTGCGTCTTCGTCATCGTCATCGTTGTCATTCTCGTCATTGCTCTGGCGTCGCAGTGCACTGATCTCAATCGGCTCAAAGATGCGATCATTTAATGGCTGCTCGACGGGTCGTGCAAATTTGCGTAAATTGCGACGGACGGTCTCCTCGGACCTGTCCTCCCCATAGTTGTCATAGTAGTCGCTGCCACCGGATTTGGTGCGCAGCTCACCCGAGTTGTACGGTCGTCGTCGTTTATTGTTGTTATTATAGTTGTAGTTGATGTCTGGACTATGCAAGGATTTGGTGGTCTGGCCTTGAGTTTTGCGTTGTTTGGTTTTGGCTTTGGATTCGGAGTGGAGAGGGATTCGGGATTGGAGATTCATATTTTTTTTTGTGGATGTGGAAATAATGAGGAATGGACAAAAACAAGTGAATAAACAATAAGTTAATAAATTAATCGATAATAAATAAAAGGAAATTATCTTAATTCGCTTTCTGACTACAACATAGCCGAACCTTTAAACAAAAACTGTGGGCAACTATACTGCAGAAGTGGAGGTATTTGCTATACACTGTGCAAAATAGTTAGTGCAAATAGTTAGTTTAGTGACTAATATACATTCATCATTATTTTGTTCCTTTTAGGCTGTCAGTAGCAAAAAGCAGATAATTCTGCTTCCATGTTTTCTTTGCAAATTATCATATTTATTTTCTATTTCACAATTTGGGCCTAAGGACGAGAAATATACACCGAATATAAGTGGGGGACTACAATTAATTGCCAGGGGATATTTAGATACTGTAGATACCACGTAATACTTTATAAACATTGCGTTTTTTTCATGTCAAAATTCGACTTAAAAGGTCATCAAACTTATTGCGGAGAAAGCGAATTAAGCACCTCAACGAAATTAACAAAGTTTATAAACTATAACAAACACATACACACAATTTATATATATATATATATACATATATATCTTTTTTTTACAGTACATGAAATTATTTTACAATAGCTGTGGGAATTTCAAGGTTGGGGATAGGCGTTAATTTCGTTAATTGAGTTTGTACATTTGGAGATCTCGAGAGAGAGAGAGAGAGAGGGGAAGGGGGAGGCACCAATTGCGTAAGCCGGAGCATAGATTACTGGACACCAAGTTAGCTCTACAACTACATACATATTTAGGTACATTGTGGAACTTACCTCCTGGGGCCACGACACGCAGACGCGCTGAGGCCTGAACGCTGCCGGCGGGATTGGTGCCGACGCACTGGAACATGCCGGCGTCGGAGTAGAGCAGTCCACGGATGCGCAGATTGTGTCCGTTGACGAACTGCATGTACTCGTTGGGCGTGATGACATCGCCGTTCTTGAGCCAGCGTATCGTGGGCTTGGGCTTGCCATGGATGGCACACTCCAGATTGAGCACCTCCTTCTCCGATGCGGTCTTGTCGCGTGGCGCCTGAATGAACTTGGGCGGCACCTGCACCTGCACGGTGGCCTGTGCGTCCAGAGAGTCAACGGTGTTGCTGGCCCGACACTGATAGTTGCCCGAATCGATGTCCTCGGCGCCAGAGATCTGCAGAGAACCGGTGCCGGTGATGGAGAAACGTGAATCGAGATGATTTAGATCCAGTTCCTCGCCGTTGCGCAACCACTTGATTTGCGGCTTGGGCACACCATTCGCCACACAGTCCAGGGTAACAGTTTCGCCCTCGCTGACCGTTTTCGGGGAGGGGCCAACAAGGAATGACGGTGCCACTGCATGGTCCGTGCCCGCCTCCAAGGGTTTCTTGAGGTTCAGATTGGTTTTGCTGCTCAGCTTGTAGACACTGCCCGAGGTCACGTTGCACTGATAGGCACCTCGATCGCTGGCACTGACCTCGTCAATCTCGAGTGCGCCATTTGGCAGCACCACCATCCGCAACTTGTCCACCGGCAGTGGCATATCATCCTTGTACCACTGCACCGTATGCTTCACTCCCGGCTGCCACACATACTCGCCCACCATGCACCTGAAATAGGCTGTCTGACCGGGCAGTAGATACGTCTCAATGAAGTCCTGATTTAGTTCCGGCTGGCGGGCGATCGCCACCAGGGCTGGACGGCTGAGCACGCTGCCGATGCCCTCGGCAGTCAGTAGACACTGATAGGCGCCAGTCAAGCCGCGATTCTCCTCCACGGAGCTAATGTACAGGGAGCCGTTCTTCAGCTGTGTACGAAAAGTATCCCCTACAACGCCCAAATCCTGGCCATCGGGTCCGCGCCAGCGAATACTTGTCGGCGGCGCCGTCAGCGTTGTCTTGCCCTTGACAAAGGCTTTGCCGACGCACTGCAGCAACACCGAGTGGCCCTCGGGCACCACAGAATCCTGCGGCTCCAGCGTGAACGTGAGTGCTACAAAGAAACAATGAGAAAGAGAGAATAAGTTGATGTTTGTTGTTGTTGCTGTAGTCAAGCAGAAGTCACCCCCACATGGTTGACTGGCTGACCCGGTCGGAGCACGCGCGCTCACTTCAGACGCAATCTGTCAACTTGAATAATTAAAGCTGCAAAAGTCGCTCCTAGCAACCCCGACACCCATTCCCTTCCACCGCTCTCTGTCGCCTTCTCAACACGCCCTTGGGGCAGACAAATATTTGCATTTCCACTTTGGCCCCAGTCCTTGAAAGGCTGCCATTGCTGCCAATGAATATCTAACATACTTTAAGGGCTACAACGCCAGGAATCGAAGCCCGAGACTAAGCCTTGAGCAGGCCGAACTAACGATGCTTCAGTGTTGGCACTTTGGCAGCAACAAGCTGGAAATTAGCTACAATTGAGCATTAAAAGATATCTCAACAGTTAGCTATCTATAGAATTTGATAGATTTATTTAGTTTATTTGTTTAAAATATTTATGACAGGGTTATTAGTCTTCATAACATTATTGTAGTTGACCGTTGCTTTGTATCGCGTGGTTATGGTTTTCTGTAAGTCTACATCTGGTTGCCATCGATTTGATCTTGGCCTTATAAAGCAGTGGTTAACGTTTTTTTTTAGCTTTATCTTAAGGAATATATTTCCTTTAAATTACATTTGTAAATCCTAGTTCCCTAGTATAATTAAAAGAGCATTTCATTAGGAAAAACAACTCTTTTGCACCCACTTACTTTTTGTAGACTCTGACATTTTTCTAAGAAATGCTTTGAACATTTTTGAACAGCACTTGTCGCCGCTCAACTTAGTGCCACATTACAGCTAAATAAGCAGTGCTTTAGCCCCATTATTTTGACATGCTGCGACAGCATCGCCTTTTAAATTATATATGTATGTATATAGGTACATTTGAGTAGCATTAATTAGGCATCAAGGAGTTGGACAGATTCTGTGCAATGCGGCAGCTTTCATAATTTACAAAATTTATCCAGCTGTGCAAATGAGTGGCACAATGCACAGGCTGCTGCTGCTGCTGCTGCAGGTGAAGTAACTGGCAAAATGGGGTTCATTGGCTGCCTGCCACCACCCGCACCACTTAGCAGGAAAAGAGACTCCATCGTGAGTATGCGAGAACAAGTACTAATATGTTGACCGCACGTGAACTCAACTTGCAACTGGCACTTGCATTCGCATTCACATTCGCATTCGCATTCGCCTTCGCAGCCACAGTCACAGCCAGAATCGCAACCTTTTGAGTTTGGCCTGTGTGCGAGGTATGCTGGCAATTTGCGTGCTTTGTTTTACTTCCGCCTCGTTTCAGGTTCCGCACTGAAGTTAACCAAGTTTACGAGGCGTGCTGGGCTGGCTGTCTGCATGGGTTGAGGGCCGGCTTCTACTGCTCCGACTTTATTGGGATCTCGAACTGATGGATGCCCCGACATAATAACAGAACGGACGGAGAACAACGTAGCCAACTACTTAACGGGTCCTGTAGCTAATGGCAAGCCGAGAAATTGTCGCATTTCTTTACTCATTGATTGCCGCAATTTTTTACTCTCGCTTTAATTTTCATTTGCATTTTCATTTCCATTTCCAACTCAATCTGAATTTCTATTTCATTTCTGTCTGGCTCATATTCAGCTGCTGCTGGTGGGAAGCCATGCATTTAAAGTCCCGACGTGTGGCTTTTATGGTTATTGCTCTGCTCGCTTTAGTGAAGTTTCCTCTCGCCTTTCGTTGTTGGCCTTTTGGTGGTTTTATATGAGCCCCACGACTCTTTGGCTGTCGTATTTCTCGCCTTTCACTCGACCCCTGTGAATTTGCTCACAGTTTGTCATACGAGACATGACCCTAAGTTTTTTTTATGCAGACACCCTGTAGAACATTAAATGTTAAACTGGGAATATAAAATCGTCGCTGACTATTTGTTGTAACCAGTCTTTCGTATTTTATTCGAAGAGTTAGTCAACAGCAGAGAGCAGAACGTGAACTTTGGGTTAATTAAATTAACTTTTAGTTACGAAATAATTAACTAGTGTACTTTTTAATTACTCACTCTATGAGGAGTGTTACATATTTACAGGGTATGCTTAAACTGTGCTACACTTTTCAGTCGGCTCTAACTAGCTTTTAGAGACGCCTTTTAGGCGCAGCTCCATCAGCTAAACACGTTGAATGCTGCTGGTCTGCACAGAGACCAAACATAACTGCTGTCTAACCCTTATAGGCCACTTGTCTCTCCCTCTCTCTTCCTCTCTCTCTGTGTTTCTCTCTCAGTCTTGTTAACATTTTACTTACTTTGCTCGTTGTGTTGCGTTCTGTTTGCCTACAGCTGCATTTTGATTGACATTTGCTCTGTGTTAAGTCTTACGTGTCTCTGGTATTGGATTTCAAACGAATTTTGAGTTCACTTTCCTTCGTGCTACCTGCACTTTTGTGGCACGTCTCAATTATGGGCCATCGGACCGGCCACGCCCGCATTTATGGCACAGCAACAACAACAACAACAACAATCATGCACAGGCAACAAGCAGGCAGGCGCAGCTGCATTTTGAATAATTTCAGAAATATGCCAATACATAAAACATAATGGCTGCTCTAAATCAAATAGAGACATCGCCACAATCAAAATTCGTAAAGCGGCGGGGCGCGTTCAATTAAAATGTTTTTATTGCTCGAATTGATTTTTATTGTCTTTCGCTGTATAGGTATGTACACATACATATATACATCTATACATACATACATACATACATATGTATGCATATTTATGCATTTCACATTTCCCAGATACAGACGCTGCCATAGATACGGCTACGGATCCAATTTCGAAAGTCAAATTGAGGTTATCTCTGTGGCAGCAGCTCCCGGAATTGTGTCAATTATTATTTTAGTGTTGCGCTGCAGTTCGAATTGGAATCGTGAAAAGCTCTTATCTCCTATTCTGTCTCTCTCTCTCTATCTATCTCTATCTGTCTCTCTCCCTGTTGCCAGTCGTAATAAAATGTAAAGGGCAGTTGACACGCCCACTAGCCTTGTGGCCATAAAATGCATTCGATGCAATCAATTATCAACATTATTTTTGTATGTCAAAATAAGCAACAAAATCAAAAACGAAATTTTAATTAAATGCTAATTGGATAAATCTTAACATCCAATAAGTGATTTGGGACGAGGGTGAAGGGGGCAGGGCACTTGAGAGCCATCTACCAATTTATATGCGTTTTTGCTTCAGCTGTCTGGTCTGGCCACAAATGAAGTTGCACACAAACTGAAACTTGCTCTTGGATCCGACCTGCTCCGCACTGCTCAGCATCATAATCAAATTTTGTAAATTTCGTATCGTCGCCATTAACAGGGCCTTTCACTTAACCCTCCTTACCCCTAGCTTACTCCGCCTCGACGGGTGCTCAGGAAACCGCATTGGCGCCGTGGCATATGGAAACTTTGTCGGCTGCCGCTTGTGTCGTTGGCAATTAAATGAGGCAAAACTTGCTGCTGGCTAATGCCACACTCAACTGCTTTAAGCCGTCTGTCTGTCTGTTTGGCTTCCTGTGCGGGTCTGTGGCTATAACTAAGTACGAGTTGCGCATGCAACTTCCTCCAGAGTGTATATAATGTTAAACTTTAAGTTCCCCATATCGTATGTGGTCTTCCTTAATCCGTAAACGCAAAGCTTGCGATTAAATCAAACTTTGCAGTTTTGTGTTTTTGATTTAAGCTTCAGAAAACTGTAACTTTCCTTCAACACAATAATTTCCATTTACTCTGCTTAATTTCGGCAAAAATTGCAGCTCGCAAAATGATCATAGAATTGTTTATATGTGTATACATTTTACTAAACTTTTGTTGTCCTTTGTTTTTGTGGCAACAAAAAAAAAAAGGTTTGTTGCATTATGCGATTACCCCCCATTTTCACCCTCCTTGCAGTCTGCCTCCACACAAACCAGCATTTTGTCAGAATTTGTTTTCTTTTTTTTTTTGTTTTGCATATTTTGCGCTTGAAAAGATTTGTTGTACATTTATCGAGGCAGTGTAGGCTGTAAAATATGTAAAAGCATAATGGACTACCAACCACCACGGCTCCGCGAGAGGGAGAAAGTGAGGGTCCTCCAAGCACACACACTCTTTCACCGTCTCCTCGGAGTTGTTTGGCAAATAGAAATGTTTACAACGCCAAATCCCAAAGCTGCTTTTGTATGCAAAGTCTTTAACAACGGGAAAAGTGCTTTAATTACTTTATTTTGTACATGGGAACAGTTCCCAAATGCCCCAGCAAACTGCAATAAATGGAAGAGTCAGCAAATTTTGGTATGTGGGCTCTCTCATATATCACACATAATCACATCACAGCCCGCCGGCTTTTATTTCACATTTCACATATTTCCCGACGCATCGTGGCGCAAATGGGCTGAGTAATATTTATTTTAATTAAGGAAATAAAAGCATATATAACTTATTGTGGAAAATATGAAAATATGATAATATTTATAATGGCCGTTGTTGTTTAATTGAGTTATCTCCTGCGTCAGCAAAAAAATCAACAACTGAGCAACTCCCCTGTTCCCACTTCCCACTTCCCCTGCCATGTTTCCTTTGTCGTTTTACGCTTTTTGGGTTTGCTTTAATTGTGCTGGCCTGAAGCCGTTGGCTGGCTCATTGAATCAAATTAAACAATTATAATTTAGACAGATTTATGCGCTCATTTCCCAGAAAAAAAAGCGTTCACTTTAAATTGAAGCCAAAGAAATTGAAAAGCCGAGCGAAATGAAAAAATGTGGAATACAATTTTTTGATTAAATATGCGTTTTGACTTAATTGACTTTAATTGTTCAAACCGTCGCAACTCAGGCAACTGAAACAACAACAACAAGATACACAAAATGTGCGAGTCACGCACAGCTTCAATTTACATAATATTAAGAAAAAAGTCTTGATTCGGTAAGTCCAACAAATGAAAATGCAAACCAAACAGCCACA